TCAGGCTCCATGCTCACTAGGGAGTCTGCTTCTCTCCCTCTCCCCTGCACCCCACCGCCCTTGTGCATCTATTCTCTCTATATATAAAGTAAATAAATCTTTTTTTTTTAAGATTTTATTTATTTATTCGTGAGAGACACAGAGAGAGAGAGAGAGAGGCAGAGGGAGAAGCAGGCTCCCAAGGAGCAGGGAGCCCGATGCGGGACTTGATCCCAGAGTCCTGGGATCATGACCTGAGCCGAAGGCAGATGCTTAACCATCTGAGCCACCCAGGCGCCCAGTAAATAAATCTTTAAAAAAAAAAATAACCAGTGCTTTATTATAGTTCCTCTGCCAGGTTTCTTAAGCCTTGCTTTTGTTGGTAGTTGCTCTTTTCCAATTAACATTATGTGTAATATTTGAGGTCCATTAATTTGCTATAAGACAGGAAACATTGAGTTTTGTTTTGTTTGTAGTTTGCAAAGCAATGCTCTTTTTTAAATTAACATATTATTTGTTTCAGGGGTACAGGTCTATGATTCATCAGTCTTACACAATACACAGTGCTCACCGCAACAATACTCTCCTCAATGTCCATCACCCAGCCACCCCATCCCTCCCACCCCCTTCCACTCCAGCAACCCTCAGTTTGTTTCCTGAGATTAAGAGTCTCTTATGGTTTGTCTCCCTCTTTGGTTTTTGTCTTGTTTCAATTTTTTCCTCTTTTCCCCTATGATCCTCTTCCTTGTTTCTCAAATTCCACATATCAGTGAGATCATATGACAGTTGTCTTTCTCTGATTGACTTATTTCACTTAGCATAATACCCTAAAGTTCTATCCATGTCATTGCAAATGGCAAGATTTCATTTTTTTGATGGCTGCATAATATTCCATTGTGTGTGTGTGTGTGTGTGTACATATACACACCACATATACCACATTGTATGTGTATATATATATACCACATATACCACATTGTGTGTATGTCTGTGTGTGTATATATATATATATATATCACAATGAGTTTTAATATGAGATACTTTTACATTACTAACTGGGCTTTCCCAGTTTGTGTTTAAGAATCTGCAGTATGACGAACTGTGCTTTATAGTAGTTTTCTTTGAGTCCATAGGATGATAGTATTTCTTACCAACTGCAATCTCCCCCCACTGATTTTTCCCTCTTTGAAAATATGATGGAAACAGGTATTTTTAATACCAGTTTGGGAAGTTTTTATTTTTAATGGAGGGTTATTCTTTACCCACCCTCTATTATCTCATCCCCTAGAAAATCATAGAATCAGTAAAACTAAGTTTTATAAGACTTTTGTACACAATGGAAGTTTGAGCATATAATAAGCAAATAAGTTGGCTACACATTTGGGTGAACTCAAAAACACTTTTTTTTTTAAGTTTTTATTTAATTTCCAGTTAGCATACATTTAATATTAGTTTCAGGTGTACAAAAGCGTGATTCAGCACTTCCATACAACACCTGGTGCTCAATACAAGTGCACTCCTTAACCCTTTTCACCTGTTTAACCCATTCCCCACCACCACCTCTGCTCTGGTAACCATTAGTTCTCTATAGTTAAGGGTCCATTTCTTGGTTTGTCTCTCTTTGTTTTCCTTTTGCTGGTTTGTTTCTTAAATTCCACATATGAGTGAAATCACATGGTATTTTCAAGGACACTTTTTTAAAAAGAGTGTTTTAGGATTCCCTTGAAGAGTGTATTTTTATTAAGATTAGGTTTCTTCTGGGGGCGCCTGAGTGGCTGTCAGTTAAGCATCTGCCTTCAGCTCAGGTCATGATCCTGGGGTCTGGGATTGAGCCGGCATCAGGCTCCCCGCCCAGCTGGGAGTCTGCTTCTCCCTCTCCCTCTGCCACTCCCCCCTGCTTGTGCGCTCTTTCTGTCTCTCTGTGTCAAATAAATAAATAAAATATTTTTAAAAAAAGATAAGGTTTCTTCTGAAATGAAAAAAAAATGGGGAATAGAGAACACCACTTGGTGTTAGAAGTGAGCTTAGAGGGGTGCCTGGGTGGCTCAGTTGGTTAAGCGTCTGCCTTCAGCTCAGGTCATGATCCCAGGGTCCTGGGATCAAGCCCCCCCCCAACCCCAGACAGGCTCCCTGCTCAGCGGGGGACTGCTTCCCCCTCTTCTCCCCGCTCGTGCTCTCTCTTGCTATCTCTGTCTCTCTCGATATCTCTCTCTCTCAAATTCAAAAAGAAAAAAAAAGTGAGCTTAGAGTCTTAGATATTTAGATTGTGAAAAAAAAAACTGTCTCTCTTTGTCAGTTCTTTTTTTTTTTTAAAGATTTTATTTATTTGAGAGAGAGAGAATGAGAGATAGCACGAGAGGGAAGAGGGTCAGAGGGAGAAGCAGACTCCCCGCTGAGCAGGGAGCCCGATGTGGGACTCGATCCCGGGACTCCAGGATCATGACCTGAGCCAAAGGCAGTCACTTAACCAACTGAGCCACCCAGGCGCCCTCTTCTTTATCAGTTCTAGAGCCCTTTATTATCCCCTTCAGATTGTGCTTAATTTTAATCTGCTTTCCTAAACAAGAGTGAAGTAGAAAATTAGAAAACCTCCCTCAACCACTTCCAGTGCCTCGTCAATGACCTGGTTAATTGGTTAATACTCTGCTTGACATGGAGTCCTATTTTGAATTCCCATAGGATGTTTCTGATAAGGCATGACATTCCAGGCCTTGACTCCAGTCTTATAATGAATAATAGAGAGATTTATTTTTGAACAAAGTGAATTTATCTGAATTCAGATCTAATTCTGCCACCTATCTGCTATAGTCTTTTATATGCAGATTACCTTCTCCAAGCATCATCCTTGAGTATAAAAGGTAGATAATGGTACCAAATTTGTAGTCATGAGAATTTAATGTGTTGATAGTTGTGAAGTATTTAGCATGTTCTCTAGCACTAGTAAATGCTCAGTATGTATCAGTTATGCAAGTGACTTGAGGAATTTTAAGGTTAACATTTGCCTGTTTCAATAGCCATCTATTTATATTTATATTATCTGTTTTTATTTTATTTTATTTTATTTTGTTTTATTTTATTTTATTTTATTTTATTTTATTTAAGTAAGCTGTGTGCCCAGCGTAGGGCTTGAACTTAGGACTCCGAGACCAAGAGCCAGCCAGGCACCCCTCAACAGCCATCTATTTAATATAACATTGTTTAATGGCCTCAGTTCATAAAACTTAACATCTTCAAAATAATACCAGTTAATGAGGATCTGGGTGAGGTGCTAATTCATTCAGCAAAGATTTATAGAATAAACTATGTGTCAGAAACTATGTCAAGCAACAAAGCCAGAAAACTGAATATAGTACATAAGAGCCTCAACCTCATGGAGCGTGGATCAGAGTGCTGTAAATAAGTACATATATCAGTTCATGACAAATACAAGGGACTATGAGAGGGACAAGGTGAGCTGTTACTTCTTTTTTAGAAAAGATGACATTTAGCCTGAGACGGGGATGAGAAGGGCACTAAATTTGGTGTGAATGATATAGCTAGTTAATAGTTAGGTTGTACACGTTTACATATGCTAATGATACCACTTATATCGTGAACTGACCATTTAGGTCAATAGTCTTTAAAGGTTTTTGGGTTTGGGCGCCTGGGTGGCTCAGTTGGTTAAGCGACTGCCTTCAGCTCAGGTCATGATCCTGGAGTCCCAGGATCGGGTCCCGCATTGGGCTCCCGCATTGGGCTCCCGCATTGGGCTCCCGCATTGGGCTCCCGCATCGGGCTCCTTGCTCGGCAGGGAGTCTGCCTCTCCCTCTGATCCTCCTCCCTCTTATGCTCTCTGTCTCTCATTCTTTCTCTCTCAAATAAATAAATAAAATCTTAAAAAAAAAGGTTTTGGGGTTTGATTTGAATATTTTTAATAGAGTATAAAGAAATAGTCTATAATTAATTTCTGGAAATATTTCACAAGTTTATATGATTTTTAATGTTATATTTTTGTCTTTATTTTGATGTGATCAAAGGTCAGTCTTTAGAAATAATTGAAAAAGATTTTTTTTTTAGTTAGAAAGTCCTAACCTTACTTGACTAGGTTTCATAAATTTTCACTTTTTAAAGATTTTTGTGGCTTAATTTTTGCCTCTTAACTATCTGATACATAGGCAATTTATTTGATACTTGAATTGAATTTGTAAATTAAATTTTTTATTTTTCCCAGATAGCTAACCAGTGTGCTAGCACTTTATCATGTTAATTTTTTTTCTGCATCCTAATCTTTTTTTTTAACTATCTAATGTATCTGTGTGGTCTTGCATTAATAAGCCAATTAGTTGATTATAGACTTAAATCTTTTAATATATGGTAAATCCATTTCTTCCTCATTTTTTCCCATTAATTTCCTTAGCTTATTTTTACTTGTTTTTCTAAATTTCAGACACATTCTGTCATGTCCCAAGAACAAATCTTAGTTTTGGTTGGAATTTTACAAAGCTATACGTTAAGTGATACTTTTGTAATTTCTATACAGAATTAATACTACTTAAAGGTCCACTTACTGAACTTCCAGTGGCCAGTGATTAGAACCGAGAGATAAAGCTCATAAAGATTCATTTTTTTTGTAAAATTACTGTCTCATATTCAAGACGGTGAATCAAAACATTTTTCCCTTTCAGGAAGATATCTTCTTGATATTGTTCATAGTCACTCAGGATTTTGCTTAAAGCCTATTCTCATATAACGTAAGCTTTAAAATTCCTTTATTTTTCAGCTTTTCTATAATGTGGTATTCTACATTTACATTTAATTTTTACAATACATTAGGTTTTAAATAAATCATATGTAGATTTTCTGTTGTAAATTAACATTTTTAGTAAATCATTGGTGTGTGATTTTGGGAATACTTACTATTATGTTTAGGAAGCTTTAGGTTATATTTGATTTTAGTATAGAATTGATGGGTATCATACACTCAACTTGGAATGCTAGCCCAAAGCAATATTAATATTTTCTTTTTTTTTCTTAATTCACAGTGATGCGGTTAACTAAGCCTACTTTATTCACCAATATTCCAGTAACATGTGAAGAAAAAGACTTACCTGGTATGCTTTGTTCTGCTTGCACCTAGGGAAAAGTTGAAACCTGGATTACCTATATTACCTTGGAATAAGCATAGTCTTGCCAGTCTTATACTAACTTTTTGCTGCATTCTTTGTCTCTTTTTGTATGATGTAAGTGGTGGCCGTCTTAAGTGTAGTAGGTCTTACTCATAATCTCTAAGTCAAGATACTGTTGATTTCCCATGGCAACAAGAAACTTTTAATTTTAGTAAGGATACATTCATAGTCATGATATTAAAATTTTATTTATCCTCACATGTTCCATCAACATGTGTATTAGCCATTCCCTTTATTTAAAGTTATTGGAGCTCTCTATAATATATTTTGTATCTGATGACCTTCTTTTTCCTTTGTTTCTGACGTGTTCATTCTCCATGAAAGTAGAATTTTTTGGCATGCATTTGTTGTAGTGAAGATTATAAATTAGATATTTGTAATATAATTTTTGTTAAGATTCTTTTTTTTTTAAGTATTTCTCCCAGCTGTTTCTTTATGGAGGTAAAACTTATTTACAAGATAGATGTTATAATTTATGTTTTTCTCTTCCTATAGGAGATCTCTTTAACCAACTCATGAGAGATGATCCTTCAACTGTAAATGGTGCAGAAATTTTAATGTTGGGAGAAATGTTGACTTTACCACAGAATTTCGGGTAAGAATGAAATGTTGACATAAACCATTACAAATTATGTTTTCACAAAATAACTAATGAATGGAAAAATACTCATACTTTGGTTAAAAAAAAAGGTTTTACTAAAATTATACTTTGTGATTCCGGGTTTTTTTTTAATTAAAAAAATAAGATAGAAAAAAAGAAAAGGGGAGGGGCTCCTGGGTGACTCCATCAGTTAAGTGTCCAAGTCTTGCTTTTGGCTCAGATTGTAATCTCAGGTTGGTGGAGATCAAGCCCTGCATCGGGCTCACCCTGGACATGGACCTGCTTGGGATTCTCTCTGTCCCTTTCCCTCTGCCATCCCCTCCAAATCACCACCACCACCCCCCTGCAAAAAAAAAAAAAAAAAAAGATACATACCGAAGTATGAATAATGGTTTCTAGAATGATAAAATAACTTTCTTCCTTAGATCTTACTGCATTTTTTAATGACCATGTATTCCTTTCCTTTTAACTGACTTAATCTAAATGTTTTTCAGAAGTGACTTTCTTGTTCAGTTTCTTAGTCTTCTCCCAACATAAGGTGTCAGACTTGTCAGCTCATTAGGAACTGTCAATTTTTATTCCTTCTCTTATTCTTAGCTCTTCTCTTATTCTAGGCTACTAATGAGGTAGAAGCCCTTGGTTTTACTCTGTTTGCAACTGAGAGAATTTAAGACCACATGGAATTTTTCAGGTTTTTATTTATTTATTTATTTATTTTAAGATTTTATTTATTTGAGAGAGGGGGAGCACAGAGAGAGGCAGAAGGAGAAGCAGACTCCCCACTGAACAGAGAGCCTAAAGCAGGACTCGATCCCAGGACCCTGAGATCATGACCTGAGCTGAAGGCAGACACTTAACCAACTAAGCCATCCAGGCGCCCCAATTTTTCAGGTTTTTAAAAAAGGTTTAGAGAATGTGGTCACTGACTGGTGTCTTGAAAGCTTGGAAATATATTCATATTAAAAAAATTACATAAAATATATTTATAGATTTTTGTGTAATATGTATTTATAAACAGGTATTTTTATAAATTTTTACAAAAATATAAAGTAGTCATTATTTGTATTAGAATAACTTAGAAAAATAAAACAAATTGGTAAAAAATACTCAGATCAGTTACTGGGGTCTCTACTAGATTTAGGGCATAAGCTCTTTCAAAAATTGCCTTTTCTAGTCTCTTCAGTAATAAATCCTAAGACTTTTAACATGGATCTGATTTCAGTGACTTATGTCTAGAGAAACAGGCTGTTTGTACAGTAGTTGAGGGTCAAGATATATATCATGTCTTACAGGCTATATCAGTATTTTGAACTGTACTGGGTAATGAATGAGCAGCCTAAGGTATACAAAGGAATGCTGAAGCAGTATTTAACCTGATCACTATCCTTTACTAAATTCTTCTCCACTTTAAGTTCTCAGTGGTGCTTATATAGAATATTTGTGTTAAAACTTGAGTGGATTTTTGCCTAAAAGTTTATTTTATTTCACAGGAATATATTTTTGGGAGAGACCTTTTCCAGTTATATCAGCGTTCATAATGATAGCAATCAAGTTGTAAAAGATATATTAGTAAAAGTAAGTGGCATTCTTGTTTGGGATATATTTTTTTTTAACTTTTTAATTTGTATTCCTGTGGTTTTGAAACATCATTAAAATGCATTTTGATACTGGACTTTTTAATTGTCATTAACAACAGGCATTAATTGAACACTTAAAGCTATAAGATAATATTCTGGGCACAGAATCATTTTTCCTTATCCTCAAAGATGTGATCACTTGGGTGAGAAAGTATACCAAAGGTTTAAGTTTTTATTAATAATTTGTGATTAACATGATAAAATTTGGAAGAAGAGGAAAGATCACAGAGGATTGCATCAATCATGAAGACTTATTGGAGAAGGAACACAACAGGATCTTCAAAGAATGGTAGCATTTAGAGAAAAAGAGCAACATGATACTCAGGAGCAGAGGCATAGGCATCCATAAAGTGTGCTTGTAGCAGAGAACAGAATTCACTTGATAGAAGAAGTAGGTAAGATACAGAGATGTGGAGCATCTTGAAAGCCAGGTTATAGCTAAGGGTTTTAGCTTTTTTTTTTAAGGCAGTGGGCAGTGAGTGGGGACTTTTGAGCAAAGGTATTCACACTGTGTTGGAATTGGAAGACATATGAAAGCATTGTATGGGATAGTTTGTAGGAAATACACCAGTGAGATTTTTGCAGTCATTTAGAAATCAAAAGGTAGAATATGCTAACTCAATTAAACAATCTGAATTTATTCAGAAAGAGAAAGGGCATAAAGAAAGTAAAAATTTACTGTAGGTCAGGGGCACCTGGGTGGCTCAGTTGTTGAGCGTCTGCCTCGGCTCAGGTCGTGAACCCAGGGTCCTGGGATCGAGCCCTGCATCAGGCTCCCTGCTTGGTGGGAAACCTGCTTCTCCCTCTCCATCTGCCCTTGCTTGTGTTCCCTCTCTCGCTGTGTCTCTCTGTCAAATGAATAAAACCTTTAAAAAAAACAATTGTTTTACTGTAGGTCAAGGAGAAGTCATCAAAGCTATTTTCACATGGTAACTTTATGTTACTAGAGCATTGCCAAAAGGGAAGTCCAATTAAAATGAGTTTTAAAACGATCAGCAAGTATTAGAATTGAAAAGGACCTCATAGAGTCAATATTCCAAATTTCATATATGACTCAACTACCAGAAACTGGATGCAAAATTTTTCATAGATGTTTGTATGTTTGTCATAATATGGATGGAGTTTCTGCCTTTTATTAAACTGCGGGTTGTCAGACTATAGCCTGCAGGCCAAATTTGGTCTCTTGCCTGTTTCTATAAGGCCTTGGAGCTAAGAATGGTTTCTACATTTTCAAATGATTCAAAAGAAACAATCTTGACTTTGGATGTGAAAATTATATGGAATTCAAATGTCATTGTCCATAAATAAAGTTTTATTGGCACACAGCCACAGTCATTCATTTATGTATTATCTGGGGCAGATATTAAGCTGCAACTGGGAGTACAACTAGGGAGTTGCAGAGTTGCAAAGAGATTGTATTATGACCTGTAAAGTCCAAGTTATTTGCTATCTGACCTTTTAAAGAAAAAGTTTGCCAACCTCTGCATTGATATGAAAAGGTCTGACTATGAGAACTTGGAGAACATATACTTTTTTCCTGGCATACAGTTGACATTCAGTAAATGATTAATTTATTTTCATAAGGTGAATAAATCAACAAGTACATATGATTTAAGTCAGTATTTAAAAGAGTAATATAATAGCATACTTAGTATAAAATATCTATTTGTATTTATGTTGGCTTTATTCAGTTTTAATTTCCATAAAGGTAGTGATATTTAATAATAATAGTAGCTAATGTTTATTGTGCAGTGCCCACCAAGAGTTATCTTAGTTTCTCAGGTAAGACATTCAGATTCATGATTTACATGTAAGCCGTTTTTGACATCAGAATAACTTAAGAGGATATAGGTGAGGAAGCACAGCATGATACTGGTTTATATTTTTCTTTTTTATGTTGTCTATTAACTTTTAGATGTCTCTATTATGGTTTCTTAAAAAAAGATTTAGGGGGTGCTTGGGTGGCTCAGTCAGTTAAGCATCTGCCTTTGGTTAAGCATCTGCCTTGGGCTCAGGTCATGATCTCAGGGTCCTGGGATCGAGCCCTGCATCGGGCTCCCTGCACAGCGGCAAGTTGGCTTCTCCCTCTGTGATCTCTCTCGCTCTTGCTCTCTGTCAAATAAATAAATAAAATCTTTTAAAAATAAATAAGTAAAAGATTTAGATAATTTTCCTTCATTTTCAGTGCCTTGAAACAATGTATTTGGAGCATTTAGACTATCTGCTTTTTGTAGGGTTTAAAGATTCTGTAAAATCATGTGAGCTTGTATGTCTAATGGGGGAAGTTTCTTAATAACATTTGCACTTTTTTCCTGTGGAGATCAGTTTAAGCTTTTTGTGTCTAATGGTGTATAACAGTTTGTTAAACTTTTATTCTAGAAATGATCCACTTTAGGTAGTATTTGCGTACAGGTCTAAAAGTAGTCTCTGAAAAATTTCTTCTCTATTGGTGTTATTTTTCCCCTGGTCATTTCTTATTTTACATAATTTTGCTTCCTTTTTTTTCTCTCTTCGTTAAACTAGCTTTTGTTTTGTATATTTTTTTTTCAAAAAAGCTTTTTTCATTACTTACATTTAATGTGTTTTTATTCTCTCTTTGATTTTTGCTTTTAACAAGTTCCTTTCTTATGCTTCTGATTTTTTACTTTGTTCTTTTCTAGCTTTCTCAGCTGGGGACTTAATTTTTAAATTTTTATTCTTTTATTTCTATTGATAAAAGAATTTTCTTCTGATTGACTACTTTAAACATATCCTACAGATTCTAATATGTAGCGTTTTCATTCTGATTACTTTTTGAAGAATTCTATAATTTTATTTTTATTTCCTCTTCTACCCAAGAGTTGTTTAATAGGTTTTTCAGATAGAAAGGAGGTTTTTTTTTCGGTTAATGATCTATAGGTTGTTTAATTGCATTGTGATAAATTTTGTTATTGTTTTATTCCTGCTTACAGAACTTGATAGTGTTTTCTTTGTGACCTAATATTAATTTGTAATGAATATTCATGTGTACTTAAGAAGAAGGTGTATTTTCTATTATCCATTGTAAAGCTAGATATGTAGATCCATAAGATTTACCTTACTAATGGTGTTGGTAGGTCTCCCATATCTTTACTTCCCCCCCTTTTTTTTTTTTTTGGTCAACTTGATCTGTCTTGTACTGAAAGTGACATGTTAATCTCATTAGTGTGCTTCTATTTCTATCTTAAACTTTGTGCTTTATGAAAGGCTATGCTCTTTGGTTCATAGATATTTATGCTTGTTATTCTTCATTTTGAATTGTGGCTTATAGCACTAAAAGTTTCCTCCTTTGCCAGTTTAATGCTTTTTGGCTCAAATCTTGGTTGGGGTGTCTATATCACTATCCGGTTTTGTTACTGTTTCCATTTGCCTGGTGTGCCTTTGTCCATCTTTTTATTTTTAGCCTTTCTCATTTTGTTTTTATTTATGTTTCTTTTATATTACACATAGTTGGGTCTTGCTTTGTGAGCCATATTGAATATTTTTATTAGATGAATTAAGTCCATTCACATATATCTATGTTTATATGGTCAGTTTCAAATATGTCACATTGTTTTCTATTTAAATAGTAAGCGTATTATGTTATATCTGCTATGCTTTTTTTCTCCACGCAATGTTTTCATTCCTTATTTTTCAAATAATTTTTGTGTTTAGGGAAGTTTGTATTTTGTTTTACATTTTGCCTTTGTATTTATGCCTTTTATGATATTTACCCCCTTTGCTGTTTCTTACTTGGCTGCTTACTGTAGGGCTTTTAGTCTTTAATAGCGTCCTTTAACTCTACCTATTGCTTAGACCACTTTCCTTTGCCCCCTTCTTGTATCTTCCCATTTTTATTTGCATATTGATTGGATGGAGATTTCTCAAGTAGATTGCTCCAGACATGCTTGTGGGGGTAATATCCTCAGAGCCTTGAAATGTCCAAAAGTGTTTTTATACTTGAAGGACAGTTTGGCTGGATATAAAATCCTTCGTTTACATTTTCCTTCCTTATGTTTTCTGAAAATGCTACACCTTTGTTACTTAGCTGTATATGCTGTTTTTGAGAGGACTGATGCCAGTCATATTCTCTTGCCTTGTAAGTTATTTGGTAATTTTTCCTGGAGGCCCTGGGGATTTTTTTTTTCCTGTATGTTTTAGAATTGGTCGTTTGATGTCATTTCTCTGATAGCAAGTGGACCCTTTCAGTATGTAGATTTAGATCTTTTATTTCTAGAAAGTTTTCATGGATTTTAGTGGTAGTTGTATTCAGTTATTTCGTTTGTCATTTCATGTTTCTAATATGATTTGTGTCCTTTTCTTTTTTTCTTTCCTGAATTTAATCAACTATTTACATTCTTCTCTAAAAAAATTTTAGCTCCATGCTAAAACAACACCACCAACAAATTTAGCTTTAGTTTTAAAATTTCTCATTCTAGGTGTTTTTTTATATTTCATATGTTCTCTTGAGAGTATTTAATTCAGTTTGACTATTTTACTGTAGTTTTCTCTTGGTATACAGTAGTTAGTTCACTATTGGTTTTGGGTGGCAGTTTTTATCAGTGAATTGTCTCAGTTCTCGTCTACTTTTATAGTATTTTTTGTATAGATGAAGACTATTGGTAGCTTTGTATTCTGTGAAATGTAGTTTGGGTGCTTTGATATTCCTAATTCAAAAACACGCTCTTAAAGCATTGTGAACAAAGTGTGGTTTCTTTCTGGATGGCTTTTGGGAAGGCTGATGAAGGAGGAAGGGATTGTGTGTTCCTCAAATTTTCTTTTTTTTTTTTTTTTTTAAGATTTTATTTGTCAGAGAGTGCACAAGCAGGGGGAGCGGCAGGCAGAGGGAGAAGCAGGCTCCCCTCTGAGCAGGGAGCCCGACATGGGGCTTGATCCCAGGACCCTGGGATCATGCCCTGAGCCGAAGGCAGACGCTTAACCAACTGAGCCACCCAGGAGCCCCAGATTTTCTCTTTTCATTTGAATTGTAGTGTCCTAAATTTTTCCTCTTCCCTCCACAGTTTCCAAAAGGTGTCTCTCCTTTTAACTCTTTTTCAAAACCCTGATGTGTTTTCTTTCCTGTCAAACAACTGTTACGTCCCTTTCCTATAGACCATGCTCTCATCTTCCAGTAATGCCCTTTCTCAGTATTTTCACGCTTAGAATAGACTTTGTCTTTGTGGAAGTGGTTTAGATCAGTGTTAGACCTTCTCTTTCTCTTCAGCTCAACTTTTCCTGAACTTCTCTTATTCTTTGCAAAGGCTTATGGCAAGAGCGTGAGAAATAGCTTGCAAAAATTTGATATTTGTCTCCTTGGGTAATTTGAAATTTGGACATTTGCTGCTTCCTACTTACACTAACACAAGGTTTAGTATAGTTTTATTTGTTTTTGTCTTGTTTTTTGTTTTTGTTTTTGTTTTGTGGATGACTTGGGAGATCGTAATTATACTGCTACTATTACTTCAGCTACCCAGATTTCTGCCCTCAAAACATTTTTTTATAACTCCTGGAATTTTGAAATCAAGAAGAGAGATTGTGAATCTGTACTTTTTTTTTTTTTTTTTAAGATTTTATTTATTTATTTGAGAGAGAGAGAATGAGAGATACAGAGCATGAGAGGGAAGAGGGTCAGAGGGAGAAGCGGACTCTCTGCTGAGCAGGGAGCCCGATGTGGGACTCGATCCCGGGACTCCAGGATCATGACCTGAGCCGAAGGCAGTTGCTTAACCAACTGAGCCACCCAGGCGCCCCCGAATCTGTACTTTTTTTATTCTTTTGCTGTCAGCTTAGTGTTGTTTTTGTTTTTTGTTTTTTTTAAGATTTTATTTATTTATTTGACAGAGACAGCCAGAGAGGGAACACAAGCAGGGGGCGTGGGAGAGGGAGAAGCAGCCTTCCCGCCAAGCAGGGAGTCCGATGCGGGGCTTGATCCCAGGACCCTGGGATCATGACCTGAGCCGAAGGCAGATGCTTAACCAACTGAGCCACCCAGGTGCCCCCCTCTCTCTGAAACCCCCGGTTTGTTTTCCGGGGTCCAGGGTCCCTAGACTCTCATGGTTCATCTCCCTTTCCGACTCTTGATTTCAGCTCAGGTCTGGATCTCAGGGTTGTGAGGTCAGGCCCCTCTTGAGAAAAAAAAAATATTCCCCTATCCCAAGCCAGCCTTCTATTTCTCCACTACTATTTTCCCCAAACATTTAAATTCAATACAGGTAGGGATTTTGGTCTGTTTGTTCACCGATGTATCTCCAGCTCCTGGCAAAGCCCTGGCCTATAGTAGGTAACAAGAAAGTAAATGTTTGGTGCAGCATTATTTATAATAGCAAAAAAAAAAAAAGATTCAAGTGTTCAGCCGTATATATATTAATACTGTAGTTATGACACTTAAAAAAATGACATAGAGGAAAACATACTGGACAGAAAGCCCGTGGGTTTGAGTGTTTCTTTTTCTTTAACCCCCTCTTCTCTGATTTCTAAAATGTTTAAGGAATTTTTAATCTTAGTTCCATTACTTACTAGTTGTATAACCTTAGGGAAGTTGTTACTTCTCTGTGCCTTGGTTTTATTGTCTGTAAAATGGGAATCGTATGACTGCCTACTTAGGATTGTAGATATTTTTTTTTTTAAGATTTTATTTATTTATTTGAGAGAGACAATGAGATAGAGCATGAGAGGGGGGAGGGTCAGAGGGAGAAGCAGACTCCCCGCCGAGCAGGGAGCCCGATGATATTAAATGAACAATGAGCATAGAACAAGGCCTTGCACATAGAGAGTGCCCAATAAATCTGAGTTCCTGCTATTTTATAACTGAATATAACGACCAAAGGGATAGCACAAATAAATATCCCGCTTCACAGTGCCTAGCATTAAGAATGTTAGATTAGAATTAACTGCAGAAAACCTGTTAGGTTTTTAAAAACAAAGACTTAATAGAATCCAAGCTTTTATTTTTTATTTTTATTTTTTTTTTTTTAAGATTTTATTTATTTATTTGACAGAGAGAGACACAGCGAGAGAGGGAACACAAGCAGGGGGAGAGGGAGAGGGAGAAGCAGGCTTCCTGCCGAGCAGGGAGCCCAATGCGGGGCTCGATCCCAGGACCCTGGGATCATGACCTGAGACGAAGGCAGACGCTTAATGACTGAGCCACCCAGGCGCCCCAGAATCCAAGCTTTTATATAAAAACTTCCCCTAATCCTTATGACCTAGCATGATCTTTACTTTCTCTGAATTTTTTTTGACATTTGCCTCAAAGTTTCATCATAACATCAGTCAGTATTCAACCCGTGTTTATTAATTACCTAGTATGGTGTCAGGCATCAGGTTGTAGTAGTGAGCAAGGGAAGACAAAAGAGGTTTGTGCCTCCATAGACCTTACATTTTCGATAGGGTGGGCAGAAACAGGTATACAAAATACTATAAATAAGTAACTATAGATTGTGGTAAATGTTACAAGGGAAGTTAAATTTGATTGTGACACAAAGTGAGATTAAGGGAGGATGCCATTTATGACAATTAGAGTGAGAAATGTTCGAAAAGAAATAAAGGGGGAATGTAATAGAAAGTAACTGGGTGTTATTTTAGAAAAGTTAGTCCTTTCTTTGTTGGTGACCTTCATGCTGATCTCTCGTTCTACAAATAACATATGATATTGTTTTGAATAGTAATTTATCCTTTAGTGTTATATAGTAGCACATATGTACACATCTATCTCTGTTTGTTCCTGGGATACCCATCTGTATGTATGTTTTAAAACCATATATTCATATTGATGCCTCTGATTCCAACTCAATACCACAAGTTTTGTTGCAGCCTTCTCCCTTTCCTTATTTGCACCTTTTTTTCTCCAAAGGTGAGAAGCTTCTCTCTTGTTATCCATAGTATTTTTTTTGTTTGGTCCTGGTATACACATTAACTGTTGCAGAATTGCTAATCCATACCCCTGTGAACAAGCAAACATACTAGCTAAAGTACAATATTTGTGTGCCATTCTTTTTGTCTCTAGCTTTTGTTAGCCAAACTAACTTAGGTTAGTTCTTTTTTTCCCATTCCTCCTTCCCACTGTGGTTGTGTTCATTTGGTACTATTTGTATTTCATTACCTCTTCCCCCTACTTCCTGGCTGATTTTTATTTATTTAATTTGGGTGTGCATGTATGAAACATGAACGTGGTTTTAAGCTACAGAGCTCTATAGAAAGATTGACACCAAGAAGTGTTGCTCCCCATCAACCCTGCTTCCTTGTTCCTGCTCCCCTATTTTCACTCATACCCAGTCACAACCTGTAGGTAACCAGTCTCATTTGGATTTTTTTTTAATCTCTTTTTTTCAAGGCTGATCTTCAGACAAGTTCTCAGCGTTTAAATCTTTCAGCCTCCAATGCTGCAGTGGCTGAACTTAAACCTGATTGTTGTATTGATGATGTCATACACCATGAAGTAAAGGAAATTGGAACACACATGTAAGGATTAATTTTACTAGTTCTCAAAGGCTTTTACTTATGTATGCCTTCATTTGAAATTTTCGCTTTACGTACATTTAGCATTAAGCCTAAGAATCTACTTAGGAAGGAATTTAATGTTGTAAGCTTACGTGCTTACCACAAACAAACTTTAAACAAAATGTTTGTTTTATAGGGGAAAATATGTTAATTTATTTTCCTTTATTTCTGTTTTCATGTTTGCATCTACAGACGATCTTACCCAAAAAATAAAAAGCCATACAAATGTTTAAAACCCAGGTACCACTCTAACTGAAAGTACATTTATTATTTTTTGAAATGCTAGGAACTGACATTATAGTGTTTGTTTTTAAATTACAACTTTTCAGTTCTGTATTTAACTGTGTATATATACTTTACCCTGAGAATTCAGAAATACAGAACCAAAGTAAGACAAGCTATGAGAAAAAAATCTCAAATTCTGTATTCCTGGCCTATGTATGTATTTCAGTGTGAATCCTCTATTTTTCTTTGTCTGAGAGGCAAATATGAAAATTTCAGCCATTTAAAGTAATTTTAGACTTCATCTGCCTTACCATCCCCACATACAATCAATTTACAAAGTCCTGTTTGTTCTTACTAACTGTATGTCATTATCCCCCCCCTTCTTCACCTCCACCTATGTCACCATTTTTGCCTCTCTTCCGTGACTTAAAGAAGTATATAACATTAGCTGTTAATCAGTTCATTGTGGTGACGTCTCTTTTGTAGGCACTTCTTGGTATATATTCTGTGGTTGGTATAAGCTTTGGAGTCAAAATTTAAAGAGTTCAAATTTCACCTCCATCATTTATTAATTACATGGTCTTGGATAAGTCACTTAACTCTTCAGTGACTACCACTACCCTTAGAAAATTCTTTGTATTGGCTTTACAAAGTTCTCTAGAACCTAATCCTTACCAGCCGCTTTAGTTCTTACCTTTTCTCACTCCTCCCTCCTTTATACTGAGTCATATTGGAAGTCTCTTTCTTTTGCACTACTCTATGACTTGAGATAAATTCTTCCATTCCTAAGGAATGCCTCTGTTCTTTTTCTAGCTTACTTCCACTTCTTCATATCTCCGATTCACCATGACTTCTTGAAGAGGCTTTCCTGACCTCCAAGACTAAATTAAATATCCCTTTTAATGTATTCTATAACATCCACAACTTGTCATTTTTTCGGTCTTCTACTTAAAATTAATTACTTAGGGCCTGTCATTTCCATTAGAGTATGAGTTCCATGAAGTCGGCTGTATCTCCATGATCTACCAGAGAAGAGTGGTCAGCATTTGTTGAAATAGAGTTTACTGAAATTTATTAAATTTTTTATTATATTTATTATAATGATTAAATTTTATTAAAAACTTGTTAAGTTTATTGAAAATTATTAAATGTTTAAAATGTTTAAGATTTTCTCTCTTTTAGAGAAAATGAGTCTTTTGTAGAATTAAATAGCAAATAATGACACGGAACTCAAATCTAAATCTGGCTTCAAAAAACCCATACCCTGCTATACTGCTTCCTACTGTGAGCACTTGAGAGCAGTTACTGTGTTTTTGATCAACTCTGTATCCCTAGTACCTGCCTTATGTACACTTAACTTATAAAGGAGAAATTGGAGTTCCTGTAATGTCACCACAGAGTGTAACCACTATTAAAATATTAATATACGATTTTCTAATTTTTTATGTGTGTTTATATAACAGATTTGTATAAATAATTTAAATAATATTTTTCAAAATTTTGATCAGATCAAGATGGTTTTATCTTTTTCAGTGCACTGTGAACATTTTCCCACTTGAATCAGTGTTCTTTGAAAACATTATTTTTAAGATAGTTCTATATTATATTCTTGGCCCATATACTTTAATTTGTTTACACCAGTGTTGGACTTTAGATTATTTCTAGTCTCCTGCTATTATAAATAACACAGTGATGAGCACCTTAGTATTTCCTGTGGTAGATTGCTTGTAGTGGGTTTACCATAGGGGCATATAAGCATTTTTAAAACTCTTACTTAAGGCTTGTTTTCTAAATCTCTTATAACCACTAGCAGTGTAGAGTCAGTTTCTCTAAACCCTCACCAATCGTGGTAACACCTGTAAAGAATTTTTTCAAATCTGGGGCGCCTGGGTGGCTCAGTTCGTTAAACGACTGCCTTCGGCTCAGGTCATGGTCCCGGGGTCCTGGGATCGAGCCCCGCATCGGGCTCCCTGCTCGGCAGGAAGCCTGCTTCTCCCTCTCCCACTTCCCCTGCTTGTGTTCCCTCTCTCTCTGTCTCTCTCTCTCTCTGTCAATTAAATTAAAAAAATCTTTAAAAAAAAAAAATTTTTTTTTCAAATCTTAGGTAGAAAAATTGTATCACGTCATTTTATTTCTTTGACTTGTGAGGCTGAACATTTTCACATTTTTGTTAGCCATTTATGGTACTGTGATCTATCTATGGATCCTTTTCTCCTATTTTGAGCAAGATTCTAATGTTTTGCTTATGAGATTTCATTTTGTTAGAAGTATTTTATCCCATTTTGTCTGCTTTTTGTTTTAATGTGGTTTTGATTTATTCAATTTATAAATTTATAAGACTCTTTTCCTTTCCATTGCCCATTTGTCTTTCCCTATCCTAGGATTTTTTTGAATTTGTATTTTTTTCTTCTAATTTATATGAACACTTAATTTGTGCATTCAACTATTTGATTATTCTGGGATTTGTTTTGGAATATATTTCACCATGGTATATTTAATTTTGCTAATCAGAGCTTTCTTGTTCATGGAATTATATTTTTATCTGCTAAAACTCTTTTTTTCCTACTCTAGGCTCATTTGGCTTCACTTTTACACCATTGGTATTAATATTTTCCAAATTTGTGAGTAGAATTGAGGTGTATTAGATTTATTATTAAACAAAATCAAAGATGATTCAAAGATACCTTTCCATTTCAGCTTGGTGTGTGCAGTGAGCTATACAACTCAGGGTGGAGAAAAAATGTATTTTAGAAAATTCTTCAAATTTCAGGTATTAAATGTGACAATGTAAATGGTTTTTAGATGCCTTTTTTCCCCCTATGAAGTTATTGCTATTAACTGCAGTGGAAACAGGCTCCAAATAAAGCAAGTAGCTTCATATGTTTGGATTTGTCATATTACTAGAAATCTAAAGTCAGACTAAAGTAAAAGCAGAGAAATTATCATTGTCAGTATAATATTTCACCTGAAGTTTTTTTTGTTTCTTTATTATTATTATTATTTTTTTGTAATCTCTGTACCCAGCAAGGGGCTCGAACTCCCACCCCCAAGATCAAGAGTTGCACACTCTTCTGACTGAGCCAGCCAGGTACCCCTCATTTACAGATTTTTATCCATAAAAAATTGTCCTCTTTTTATGCCTTGACAAAACTCAAAAGAATAAACAAGAGGGATAAAATGAGTGTAAAGTCCAGATAAATTAAGTGTAAATCATATCAAATTTCTAAAGAAATATTTAAATGAGAGATAATTGACTTGGACTGAGTGGACCAAGCTTCCTTCCAGTATTCCATGAGTCACCAAAGTTGTAGGTAGAGTTCTGTATTATACACAGTTTTCACTCCATGATTAAAAATAGTTAAAAACCACTGGTTTAACATAGGCAAGTATATGCGAGAAGGGATGAGATGACCATATATAACTAAATTAGATCTAGATATTATGCTGTATATATTTTTCATACCTGTTTTTAAGTGGAAGAAAAAGTACTATCAGTAGGAATAAATAAATACATACATACATATATACATACATACATACATACATACATAAATAAAATGTACCCAGATTTATTTTGGGGCACCTGGCTGGCTCATTAGGTGGAGCATGTGACTCTTGATCTTGGGGTCTTGAGTTCAAACCCCATGGTAGGCATAGAGATTCCTTGAAAAAACAAAACTTTCTAAAAAAAAAGGAAAAAATTTTGCTATTGCTTTGCTGTATCGTTAAGATTTTGCATGCCTTTTAAAAGAAAATAAAAGATCTGTCCGCTTATTTTAATAAACATTTTTGTGGAATACATAGAGAAAAATACATAAAATACATGTATTCAGTTTAGCGAACTATTATGAAGTAAACGCACATGTAACTCATGTGACTGTCACCCAATTAAGAAATGATGGTTGTCTTTTAGAAATGTATTTGGGATTGTTTGGTTTTCTTGTTGTTTTTGCAAAAATGTTGCATAGCTATTAAAAAAGCTTTTTACAATTAAAATTGGAAAATGCCTTTGACAGATTTAAGCCCTGTGATTTAAAATAAATAAACAAAAATAAATGGTCAAATGATAATCTCCTCTGATTGATATGCTTTATTCAACTAGGTTCTCAAACCACTGGATGTGAAAACCAAATTTTACAATGCAGAGGTAAGTGTTCAGCACTTAATAGGAATTCAGATTAAACAGTAAGATCTTATTTGACTAAAATTCTGATGTATTACATTTCATTTCATGTTGAAGTAAATGCTGAGAGGACTGTGAATTATTTGTGAAAAATGAGCCTAAATTTCAATCAGAAGAGAATAATTTCATTGTAGATCTTTTAATCTGCTGTTTTTAAATTACATAGGATCAGTAGATCATGAATTTTATTCTTGTTAATTTCATGATGCTTTCACCCCCTTTCATTAAATGATTGCCCTAAACTTCCATTTAATGATTATTATTGCTGTCTAAAACATTAGCAGTTTGTTAAATATTTACAGTGTGATTCTGATATCATAAAAATTGAAGTAGTCAATCTAATCCTGCAAAAATGATTTAATATTCTTGGAAAATATTGATAAATAGAGCTCAGGAAATTAAATTCTTTGTCCTGGGAAATCAGTGTGTCAGCTGCAGTTTGGTTCTTAAGTTCAGTGAATGGTTAGAAATACTTTTTGGGAGAAACAAGTTTGGCAAAAATAGAAATATGGTAACTTTTAGAATAGAAGTTTATCTTCTATTCGAACAAAAGAGATAAAATAGACTTTGCCATAGAAGGAAGGTTATATTGTTCAGATTTCTTTTTTAAAATTCTACTTAAAAAAAAATAAAAATTCTACTTTATCTTGGCTTCTAGAGTTCCACAAAAAGCAGATTTCCTAATGGGCCCCTTACTCGTGCAAAAATCGTATCTTTCATACCACAGTGATAAATTAAAAAATATTAAAATACAGTATTTTGAAATAAAAATTCTGTCTTTATTACTCTAAACCAAATGATCAGAAATTTGTAGTACCATGTCAAATTTGGTATGTATTTTTACCATCAGCATCTGAGTTTTTATTCAATGTAGTTTGTACTACAACTGGGCATACCAAGAGGTGTCTAAGATAAGGAATCTGACCTGCAGTAAAGCAGGAAAAAAGAAAAAAGTGCATAAAGTAATAAAACTACCTAATATAGTATATATAGTGAATTTCAAGTACTATAGGAAGTCTGGGGCTGAGATTTTACAGCACTCTTCAGAGAAGATGAGAAGGGGAACTGGAGTGGAGTCTGGAAATAATAGATGTTGGAAACATAAAAGTGTCAAAGCAGTGAAGGCATTACAAACAGAATTACAAATGCACATGGAATATTGAGTACATAAGTGAAGAATATACATATTTCATGGGAGGATACAGTCTCATCAAGGGGATTACTAGATGTTTAGAGTTAACATTTCAGGGGGTAAGGGAGGTGCCATACTACATGTGTGTTCTACCTTTTTTGTTTTACTGGAATACTTTTGATTAATTATAGTATAGCTATTCCGCTTATTGAATTTTAAGCAGTCTTAATTTATTATTTTGCTGGGAAAGAGTTCATCCACAGTATGAAGGAAGATAGATAACTATTCTGCTAGAATACATATGTTTGCAAATTAGAAGCCAATAGGGCTATAGGAGGTCTTTTTCTTATAATTGACTCCTAGGAAGGCACATATTAAATTCTTTTAGGTTTTTTTTGCTGCAAATGTGTCGTGGTACATTAAGATACTTGTCAAATAGTTTTATAACACTAATATTCAGAGTGATTTTTGCAGTTTTTTAAATTACTAATTATTCCATGAATAATATTATAAATGTGATATACTCCCCAAAAGGAAGGGGGAAAAAACCCCACAATTCTACCACACCAAAAGAATAATGGGCTTTTCATTAATCCATGTTCTCTTTCAGATTTTACTCACTTATGTTTAATATTGGTTTTTTAATCATAGTAAGAGTTCGCTGCTTTTTTCAGTTAACATTATAAGTAAACAGAATCTGGAATCTTTGCCAACAAACATCGCTAAAAAAATTTGTGAAATTCTGAACCTTTGAAAATAGAGATTTCTTTAAAAACCAGGAGCGAACAAATAGTATTTTTAGGATCTCTAGGATATTCAGTACTACCTATTAGGCAAACAAATACTATTCAGCCTGTAGGACCAAGCAGATTCTATTGACCCCAACTAGAAAATTCAGGTAAATTATAGGAGTTCACAAACCACACTGATACCAGTAGGTGATGTTTATTACTCTGTGCCATAGTTCTTACACATTGACTTTTATTAGCCCCACATTTGTCTCAAACATGTTTTTTTACACTGTTTCTAATAATTCTAGTAATATGTGAATCACTGAAAGGAAAACAAGTTTTATGAGAAACTTTGTTGTGATCTTCTAAAATAGGAAAGAAGATTGGTGACATTAGCAACTAGGATTCAAACATTGGGTCACCTGCTGGGAATAGGGCTTCATGCCAGGTACTAGAGAGAAATAAATATAAACTGGACATCTTCCCAGTCCTCAGGGTACTTAGATCTAGTGGAGGAGACAAACATGAGAAAATTGCAATGCAAGCACCACCCTGTAGATCATAAAGTATACTTAGGCTCTGGAAACATCAGAGGTGAAAAAGTATTTTTAGCAATGGGTTGGACAAAAGAGGCAACATTTGAGATGAGCCTTGATAAATAAGTAGCCTTAGAAGTAAATATGAAAAAAAAGACAAACTATAAAATATATTAACAAGAAAAGAATAAACTCTCAGTTGTCTGATGTGGTCTAGCCCAGCATTTCCTGAAGAGTAATGAATGGAACTCTAATCACTGAAGATGCTCCGTGAAAAAATGCTTCCATTAGTAGATAAATTTAGGAGAAGCTGTACAGTACAGTGTATAACTACTCTGATTGTGGAGGAGAGTGTGTAACCATCCTAAGTAATCCATGAAGAATTACAGTGTAGGTAAAGAATTTCTAGAACTAGAAAGGCATGCAATATACCTTTCTCACCCAAATGTATCCTTGAATATTTGCTCCTGTTTAAATATTCACCTAGAATGTTCTTCTCTGTTCATTTAACCATAGCAGTTTCACCTGTTTAGAAAAATGATGTCATATTCCTTTGTTACTTTGTTTACTTCTTTGTTTTACTAATGCTGTCTTGTTTAGAAAATTAAAAAAAAATGCAGAAATGCATTTTATTTTAAAGTTAGTTACTCTTTTTCTTTAACATTTAATTCTGATTTTTCTAATTTTTCTTTTTTATTTTTCCATTAGAGTGACCTCAGTTCTGTGGTAATTTGATTTTTTATTATAAATTTATATGCTTTTCTTACTTACCACTTTTTGACTCTGCCTAATTAATCTCTGTTTACAAAACATAGTGGAAAAACAAAGTTAGTTGTGAATACCACCTATTGTGACTTTAAAAGATGTATCTAATTTGTACTTTTTATATTACATTGATTATCTTCCTCTCTGGGGAAAAATTAAATTGAAGATTAAATTATATTGAAACAATTATGCTCTCATTTTTAGTGTTTTTCCTTTGGGTGTTTTTTAAAAGAGGCATGTTAACCTTGTTAAAAATAGCCTTGGGATTTTCAACATTTTCCTATAAGATTCTTTACTATACTTTAATTCTTTGAGGTAAACTCTCTAGTTGAAATTTATCTTCAAATGCACAGTGGTTTTAGTTTTATGTCTGGGTCAGGTAAAGTTGGCCCTTTGACATTAGTAAACAGAATAACCTCAAATGTCTCCAAGTTGACTAAAGTCATATATTCAAATTTCTATTTAATATAAGCAGCATTTGCTTATCATATATGACTTACATAACAACATCAACTGCTGTAGCACAGAATTCTTAATCTTTCAAGTGTCAAATTACTTTGTACTAACTGTTCAAACTAACTTAATTTTCCATTATGCTGCTTTGTTTTTCATTTTACCTAAGCTCTTCCTAAATTTAAGCAGAAAATTGCATTTTTAAATTTGAAATGTGGGCTTGTGGTTATATTTTTAAAAGCAATGGATTGATGGGATATATTTACCTTTTTTTTTTTTGAGAAAAAGTAACAGGATATTGCCTTTAAGTGGCACATTCTTTTAGACTGATAAATCATTGTATTTCAGTTTTCATTTGAGCACATGTGCCAAGAACTAAAGAATCTGTTTTAGTTTAGGTGATAATACATTACACTATAACTTCATCATTACATTTTTGCAAATGATTTCCATTTTCCTGGATTTAATATTTAAAATGTTTATTAGTGCCAGATTTCTTGGGTCATATTTTATTTTTTTATTTCCGTATATATATTACTCTGAAACTTTTGAACAAAATAATTATTGAATATCCTTAGTGTGTCACTTTCTATATAGGTTTATTTCGAAAATGAACCAAGTTCTGTTACCCTTCAGTTATACACAAAAAAAGCCAAATCACATAAAAAGGATGTTTAATATAAATAATCTAAATTTAATCCCTGAATTTTAGGAAATAAAAATTTTATATAAAAGTACATATTTAAATTACCCACTCATTAAAATATTGCTGAATAGCATTAGTTTTCAAATCTAAGGCTACAGAATACCTTATGTTTGATTTAGAAGCTCTATGACTGTCAAGTGTGATTCACATACATTTTTTAGCCCTAAGTATACATTTTAAATGAACCAAGAAATCACTAATGACCACTAACAAATTGCTTTAATTAAAAAAGTTAAATCCTTTAAGATTATAGAATAGACTGATTATTCACTGTACTGGTGGTCCCTATACTTCCTAAACTGAAATAATATGACCATTGAAAACTGTATTATGATAGAATATATAATATATATTATATTAACATATCACTGAAAGGATAGGTACATAGGTATATTCATCTTACTAAATGGCATTTTAACATTTTAATGACTTACTAGAAGAATTAGGGTATCTGTGAATGAAATTCCAGTAAAATAACTATTTTTGGATGTTGATACAAAAAATATTACAGTTATCCCCCATCCATTGTTTGACAAGTTATCAGTTAACTAACACTTGACTTTGCCCCTGTTAATTACGTTAGGATGAAGATTTCTTTTCTTGCATTAATTATGATAACTTTGATTTGCAGGCATGAACTAATCACAGTTGTGGTTAATATTTTTTCTTCGTATAGATCAGATATTTTTGTTGAGGTAAATATTTTAAATACCATTACACTTTGGTGGATATTTTTTTCATATCCTCAGACTGATGAAGTATTTCTCGAAGCCCAGATTCAGAATATTACAACCTCACCCATGTTTATGGAGAAAGTTTCATTGGAACCATCGATAATGTACAATGTAGCAGAATTAAACTCAGTCAGCCAAGCTGGAGAATGGTAAATATGAATTACAAAGTGTTTCTTTTTAAGTATATGAACTTTTCTAACACTTTTATTCTTGGATGGTTTGTAATTTGTATTTTGATTAATAGACCTTATTTTTCTTAGGGAAGTTTTTTTTTTTAAGATTTTATTTGAGAGAAAGAGTGAGAGACATGATCACGAGCAGGGGGTGATGGGTACAGGGAAAAGCAGACTCTCCACTGAGCAGGGACACCCCCCCAACCCACCCCCACCCCCCGCCATGCCACTGGATCCCAGGACACTGGGATCATGACCTGAGCCAAAGGCAAATGTTTAACCGACTGAGCCAACCGAGCGCCCTCTTAGGAAGTTTTATGTTCACAGAAAAATTGATCAGAAAACAGAGTTCCCACATGCCCCTCCCTCTACTCATAGTTCCCTTATTATTTACATCTTGTTCTAATGTGGCACATTTGTTACAGTTGATGAACCAATATTGATAACTTTTATTCATTACAGTCCATAGTGTACATTCGGGGTTCACTCTTTATGTCCTACATTTTGTGGGTTTTGACAAGTGCAATGACATGTAATCACCATTACTGTATTACACAAAATAGTCCCAGTGCCCTAAAAATCAACTGTGCTTCACCCATTCATTCCTCCCTCCACATAAAAATACAAAGATCCTAGCCATTTGCATTTTATGTTTTGCTGTTGGAAGCACTCAGTCTTTTAATTTTTATAATTCAGTGAGGTAAATCTGAAACTGTTCATCCTTTCCTGCAAATGATAAAATTGAGGCATGGGAAGGAATGATGGAGAGGTTAGAAAGGATAAAGGTGAAGGGTGAGTTTTAAGAACATTCTGTCAACATTAAAAGGAGTGGGCATAGGAATAGATCTAGTATTTTACAAAAATGAAATACATATGTCTTTCTGTAGCTGATTTAAAAGAGGAAGAATAAATAAATATAAAGTTGACTTTAATATGGACAAGAAGGTAATAGCTGGAGAAAGTACCTGATTTCACTCATCAAGAATGAAACATTTACTTTTTATCTTATTATGATGGTTAAATTCAGTAAAGTTTGTAGCCTTCCAAATCCCCCCTGAGGACAACAGTAACTTTCCAGTCTTCCCCTGATCTTTTAGTTCATTTAAAAAATGATCACTTTGTTTACAGTGGTATGTTTCTTTTTCCAAACTATTTTCTTTGAATTATAGAGAAACGGGGCAGAATATTTTAGGTTTTGATTTCTGTTGCATTTTTTCAGGTAATTGATACATATCCAGTATTTTAGGTAATATATTGCATTCTATTATAAGGAACTTAAAGATTTTCCCTGTCGCCTGAAAAATTTAAAGAAAAATAAATCCTCTCAGTTCAGGTCCTTTTTCATTTGTATTGAAACCACTGATCTGTTCTATTGAAGATATTTGGATGGTAAATCATTCAGTTCCTGTCCAAAGGAACAATCACAGCCATGGTTTTTCTTTTAAAAGACGCTAGAGAATTTCCTCCGTCTCTCTCTCCACCCCTCTCAGTGTAACTACCTTTGGGGCAAGAGCATATTTGCAGCCCATGGATACACGCCAGTATTTGTACTGCCTAAAACCCAAGAAGGAGTTTGCAGAAAAAGCAGGCATCATTAAAGGAGTAACAGTAATTGGAAAATTGGATATAGTGTGGAAAACAAATCTAGGTGAAAGGGGAAGATTACAGACCAGCCAACTTCAGCGAATGGTGAGTCTAGAAAAAACGGAGGGGGTTTTGGTGTTTGGGGGGCAGATAGTTAGAACAGCTTAAATTTTCCTAGGTGCATCACCAAAAATCAGTGCTATAAAAGGCATTAATATTATCCATAAATAAGAGATAAAAGACTAATAATTTTACTGATCTTTAGGTAGAAACTTGGTATTGAGATGAATGAAAAATGTTCAAATGTTAATTTATCCATAATACATGGATTGTTATTCTACCAAATAGAAATTAAATTACTGCTCACCAGTTTTTCTCTCCTGTGGTATCTCATGCTCACTGTTCATCTGACTTCCACTACGTTAAAGGTTTTTTTTTTGCAAGGTCCTGATACTATTGGACTTAACTACATTCACCAACTCAGTTCACACTTTTTTAAAGACTTTGGGAATCTGAGTTGTCTGAAATTCAGAAAGTGAGTCCTGTTAAAGTTATCTTATAAGCATTACTTGAATATTTTTACCTAATTTCTGCTCTTAAAGTGCGGATGGCTACAGTCCTTTCTCTTGTGCTAGTGAGAGTATGCTACAGAATCTTCCCTTTATACTGAATATTAAATATTGTGATACATTCTTTAAAAATTACTCTTCTTTAACTATTTCAGGTAATAAGTGGGGGGAAAAAAGATTATCACTGAGCCTATTTTAAAATATAGCCGTTAGCTATCATCTTGTCATGGATATTCCAAACTTTGATGTTTCTATGGTCTCTTGTGTATGGACATGTTTGTTTATTTTCCTGGATCTTTTCAAAGCAATCTTACTCTATGTGTTTAGGCAAAAACCTTATCTTTTTAGAGTTATGTATATATAAGCTATAGGATCTTTCAAAAGCATCCCTTTAAGATCAGACCTATTGAAATTTCTTTACTATTTTACCTATTGATCCTTGCTGAACATGGAATAATCATCGCAAACACAGCCAGGGTCCATAGTGTTGTTCCACAGGCAATAGCAGCAAAAGAAGTTAGAACAGAGAACAATAGGATGACTGGGAAATATTTTCTCCAAACATCAGCTTGGAGACGCACCAGCTGTTGAGGAGTGAATGTGCTAGTGGGGTACCTGTATTAAAGTGGAAAGGTTTTATAATAGATGTATGTTAACTCTGTTGCTTTTTCTCTTAGGCTCCAGGTTATGGAGATGTTAGATTGTCTTTGGAGGCAATCCCAGATACCGTAAACCTAGAAGAACCTTTTCATATTACCTGTAAAATAACAAACTGCAGGTAATGGCGGTGTTTGTGGATGGGTGTCCTTTCCTCCTCGCCTACGTCACAGAGAATTAACGTCTTTTGAGGATGCTGTCTTAAGTCTTCTCTTGACGTAAACCTCCTCTTATGTTGGTGTTGAATACTGTGAAGTCCTTCATCTGGTAGCTGTATACATTACATTTTTTGAGGTCCTACTTTATTGGGCATTTTCTTTATTTATTTCATTCATGTATCGTACCCTGGGAGGTAGGTACTAGCTATTCACATTTTATGCAAGAGAAAATCCAACTCAGAGGTGACGTGACTTACTCAGGCTGGGAGAGCTAGAAAAGATGGGGCCAGAATTTGAAACCAGGTCTATTTGGCTTCAGAGTCCATGCTGTTTTCATTGTTTACACTTCCTCACACTTCAGATTACTAAAGCATGAACAAGTTACATTTTTATGGAATAATACATTACAGATTTAATGTAATTAGATTTTTCTGAATTATACCTGAACTGTATCTTTAGCATTAATAAAGTAAAAATTGGTTATGAACTTAATACGAGGGCTCAATCAATCATAGATTGGAAAATAGGGCCTTGATATCAGAGTATAATCTAGCTGTTGGACGCAAAGAGCACGGGGCTTTGAAGCCAGAAAAGCCGAGGATCAAATCCCAGTCCTATCACTTGTAGTAAAACTCCTATTATTACTTGTTGGGGCATTTTGAAATTATTGCAGTGATGAATCCCATCCCATGTAATCTGAATATATAATCTTTTAAAATTCCATTTCCACTCCAACTTTATAATACAGGAAATATTTATCCTTCAGAATTACAAAAATACCTTCCTCCCTCTGAAGCTAGCGACCCTCCCATGCAGCTATCATTCCTTTCTCTGTCCTAGCAAATTTTTATATAGTTTTTTAGTGACATTCATAGATTGCTATATAGTCTCTCCCTCACTAGATTATGCATTATTCAGCAAAAGGGATCATGTCTTACCTACCATTGGAAAAGCATTGCCTGCCACATCATGGAAGTTCACTAAACAGCAACATGCACAGGGTGAAGACCCTGTGTGTATAGGTGTGCTTTTGGATTTTTTGTTTGCTTAAATTTTTTGAGGTATAGCAAATCAATTAATGGCCAAAATAAGGAGCCAACTAGGAGGAAAAAGAGCTAAAACAATTGAAAGTTGCCAGAAATGGTGGTAGAGCAGAGGCCTATAATTTACTTTGAGCCTTGGTTATTTAAAAAAAAAAGTGTATACTGTCATTGAAAGTGTTTTTTTTTTTTTAACATGTTTAAGCTACACTGGTGATATCACTTAAAAGCAGAAGCAGTCTTATCATGTGACCAGTGAACAAACCTGAATAACATTTACTTAGAAATCTTGTCATTTTCTGTGTTATCTGCATGGTAAAGGAACATAGGTTAAATAGCAGAAAGACTCAGTTTATCTTTTTCTTTCCTGTAGAGTACCTAACAGAAATAGGAAACATAACAACGAGATTAGACACAGATGTCTGGAAGTCTCCCAGAGAAATAGCAGAGCTGTTAACAGATCAGCACCAGGGAGCCAGGATTCAATAATAGAACCAGAAGGCTTATATCCAGTCAGGCAGATCAATCTCAGCACCACTTTAAACCCCAGAAGATGCCATCTCTTTTTATTTCCCTGATTCTACCTTAAGTGAAATAAAAATGACATTACAGCTTTCTATTTCTGATTCTGCTTTTTATTCTCCTGGATACCCTGAAAACAAATTCACTGCCACTAGTGGAAGAAATACCAAGTACCGCTGTGTGAAAGGAACAAGATTTATTCCTATCTTTCTGATTCCTCCAGCAGTGAAAGGACTATGGATCTGGTTTTGGAAATGTGCAATACCAATTCTATCCACTGGTGCGGCATTTCAGGAAGACAGCTTGGAAAGCTGCATCCCAGTTCCTCTCTCTGCCTTGCCCTCACTCTGCTGTCCTCAGTACAGGGACTGCAGGTGCGCGCTCTTTTCAGTCATTTCGGTGTCTGGGGACTATTAACCCATGGGCATTGACTCTTTCCACATTTTCTCTGGTAATTACCAATGAATGAAAATTCATGCCTGTCTTTCTCTCAATAGAGTGTCTCCGGCTTAAGACTAACAGACACATTCTTAAAGAGAACATATGAATATGATGACATCGCACAGGTCTGTGTGGTATCTTCGGCCATTAAAGTGGAGAGCTGAAGAAGATTTCCAATGTTATGCTTTTCATTGAATTTCACAGAACTCTCTGTATTTTTGTCACCTTTGTGAAATGATCAAGTCTACAACAAAAATAAGTACCTATTTAAATTTCTTTTCTGCCAAAGTTAAAATATTAAATACTTGTGTTGAAAAGAACCATCTACGGATTTTATCTCGTGAGTTACATTCTGAATGGACATTTGTACATTTTCTACCCTCAGCCTATTCCATTTTTAGATAACCATTGGACTTTGTTCTCCAAAAGCTCTGTATTTGAGGCTGTTTGTCCCTAGCAAGTATCTGGAATGGGGGGTTAGCAAACATTTTATGTAAAGGGCCAGATACTAAATATTTGTCTTCGCAGGAAATGTGGTTTCTGTTGAAAATACTCAACTCTGCTGTCATAGTGGGTCAGCAGCCAGGGGGCAAAAAGAGCAGGCAGTATTTACAGAAACAGGCAACTGGCCAGATTTGGCCTGTAGGCCGTCATTTGCTGACCTTGGTCTAAAAGATACAGTTGTTTAAAACTTTCGATTCTTACAATACTTTATTTAAAAGTTTCCAATTAACCCCAGTTTTTTTCCTAACTCCTCAGTCAGCAGAAAAAGCTTAAGACAACGGGAGTAGGGCTCATGTAACCTTATATTGCTAACACAGTATGAGTTCTCCTCAGTTTTCAGTTATTCTGTTTGTATGTACCTATGTTTGTAGTTACATATTAACCCACATGGTCTAAATTTCAGTTACGAACAGCAGATCAGAATTGGTTTAATTTCTTGGATTGTTGATTACTCTGTTAACTTTTAACTAAGAATCCTGATAATTTTCTAATTCTAAGCCAAAAAGTCCTGTTTTTTTTTCACATTGAAAAATAAGCCCCTTATTTTCATAAGGCATGTTTAAAGGATTTCCACCTCTGCTATTTGATTTTGAACTCTACATCATGTATTAATACTATAAGACTGTCTCTGTATGTAATCACAGTGATTTACTTATTCCAGGAACAAAAAGAGTAAGAAAGTTAAGATTGTAAACAAGTTTGCAACATATAAGTTTCAATATTTTGCAAGGAAACCAAAACCTTTGCTGTTAAATAAAAGCTTATTTTGGTAAGTTGAAATTCAAGGATGTAAATATAATTGCTTAAATGTTAGAGTGCATTAAGTCAAATATAAAAATTGGTTTTTCTTAAATGCATATTTATTGCCATGACAAATTATTTGGTCCAGAGTAAAGCTATATTCAGAATGAGATTTGCCCCTTAAGTTGCACTAATAATGAAGTATCTGTGCAAAATAAAGTGCAGGCAGTATAAAGCTGAAGTCTGTGTTTCTTCCAGAATGAGTAAGGATGATTAAGTGATAAGACTTTATATCCACTGCACTGTGTATTTCGATTGTTTTTTTAAGCATCTTCTCATTCCTGAACCTTCTGTTTCATTGTTCCAGATTTTAAAAGTAACATATAATGGTCACTTGGAATCTGCTATATAATTTGATTTAATTACAGAGTCTCTTTTTATGATACACATTGTCCATTCTTTAAGTAAAGGTTAGATAATGTCATCTTAGGATCTGTTTAGGCCATATTATAAAAATTAGATAAACACTTTGGCACATTAAATGAAAATGTCATTTGCATAAAAGGGACTTTTTAAGTTTTCCATAGCATCATGACAGCCACAGCTATTACAATGAAGTGTGGTTAACAGAAGCCAATCATTCCTAAGTAGAATGTATATAAAGATTTACTTTCATGTCCTCTTGTTCAGGACAAGCCAGCATAGTATTTGGGGCATCCCTTAAATTTTAAGAGTAGCTAGCACAATCCAACTGCACAAAACTTCCTTGAAATAATTTGCAGTGATTCCAAAGTGATGAAGATATACGTAGATTGAATTTGTTATAGGTGGTATATCAACCAAGAAACAAACTAGAAAGTTGAAATGGAAGGAATATACCAGCTCTTCATGTAAAAAGAATGGCTTACCCCAACTATAGATATTAGCAAATCAAGACATTGTTTTAAAGTGTTTTTTCTTATAATGCCTTTGTCTGATTTTGGTATCAGAGTAAATAGCTAAATGAGTTGGAAAGTGTTTCCTCTTCTGTTTTCTGAAAGAGATAGTGTAGAATTGATAGTATTTCTCCTGTCAATGTTTGGTAGAATTTACCATTGAAATCATCTGGGCCCGTAGCTTGCTCTTCTGGAGGATATCTGTTTCTTCACTGAGCTTTGGTAATTTTTATCTTACAGGGAATTAATCTGTTTCATGTAAGTTGTACAATATATGGACCTAGAGTTGGTCATTGTATTTTCTGATTATCCCTTTAAAGTCTGGAAGGCTGTGGTGATACCCCTTTCACGTCTGGTACTGTTGATTTGTATTTTCTTTATTTTCCTAGTCAGTCACCTAGAGGCTTACCAATTTTATTGATCTAAAAGCATTTTAATGCACTTTTTCTTACCACTGGATAAGAGTAGCTTTTTTTTTTTTTTTTTTTAATTAAGCAAGCTCTATGCCCAGCATGGAGCCCGAACTCATGAACTCATGACCCTGAGATCAAGAGTCATATGCTCTACCTACTGAGCCAGAAAGGTGCCCCAAGAGTAGCTAATTTTTTAATTGTGGATCACCTTTCACTTTTTTTTTTTTTCAGAACAGTCCTACCTTTCATGTGAATAGTTTGTACTTCATTCTGTATAACACTTGAACACTAGAACCTGAATTTAACTTTATAAAAAATTAAGTTGGCTTAGATGGAATATAGGAGATTTCATTCAGAGGGCCTAAAATTTTAAGTCCTGCTCTTCTCTGGCCAGAACTATAGATTTATATGGGTCTTCCTTGTAGCGTGAACACAGGCAGTCATGTATTTGCTGTTCTGAGGAGAAGTCTCTAACTTAACTGTTCCTCTAAATTAGAGTCCTTGGACCTACATCAGAACCACCTGGTATGCTATTTAAAATGGTGATTCTTAGGCCTTACTCCAGGACCCATTAAAACTGCATTTTTAATGAATTCTTACAGTGAAATTACAGAACCACTGTTCTAATCTCACAAGGGAAAGAAAGGAAAAGTTGGTTTTTAAACTTACAGATACCAGGTCTTCTGAGGACAGTAGTTATAGTAAAGCCCTCATCATGAGTATTACTAACTTAATTTTGTATTACTTTTTCAGTTGTCTCTCACAACATTTGTGAAATTGTGTGTTCACCCAACTTTACCAATTCTGTAATTAACAAAAGAAATTCCAGTTAGACTGGTCTTTCCATCACTGTAGTTAAAGCCATGCCATTAATACTTAATGCCACATTTCTTCATTAACTACTATGAGTTCTGATTTCAGTGAAATATTTTAAGTCCCCTGTTAATGTTTACATTGCATCAAATTACAATTAAGCATAAAAGCAACATGCCAAGCCAAATTACAGCAAAGGTCTACATGAACAAGCAATGTTAGTGATAGAAGCTTTTCGTAATCCATCAAATAATTAGTGAGTTTTTAAAAAATCAGTATTTATATGCACATAATTAAATGCCACTTAGAAAATCCTTAACTTGAGGGTCAAACCACTGGCTTATTTAAATGTAAATATATTTGAGAGTTTCCATGGTAAGGTCACCACTGGAGAAATTGTGTACATTAAATTGAATAGTTATACAAAGGACCTAAAGAACCATTAAGGATTTCTAAATGTATTTTATTATGTTCTTAGAGTAATTGGCCATGCTAATGTTATCAAGACCAAACTGCAGGCAAGATGAGTTAAGAACTATGCAGAAAACCTGAACATCCTACCTTCACTCTCTGTACATTCACAGCATCTATTTTCCTTTTCAAAAAACAACCCCTGCACCAAATGCTGCTTTCCACCAGCTCTCAGTATTCCCTGTTACCCATCAGAACAAGCAGCATTAAAGGTAGTACTGGCCCTGTGATCTATATTCAGTCCTGAGAGCACTTTCCAAATGAAATCTAGACAATAAATTTCTTCTCTCCAGACACGCTGTTCAGTGGCCAGGATATTTCTCCTAAACCAGCATGAGAAACCTTTCCTCTTCATCATCTCCATCTTTCAAAGAAGTTTGCTTAAGGGAATCTGGAGCTGGAGAGCTCACCAATAAACAGCCTTACTGTTCAATAAATATACTCTGCTATTAGGTCTAATATACAAATATGATGATGAAGATTTGAAAATGGAACCCTGTCCAGTACTACACTGGCACTCCACAGGGCTACTGATCATTTGTTTACAAAGGAGTCATGTTATGTTCCAAGTCTTTATGATAAACCTATCATCTAGACAGATTGATTCTTTAGGTGTCTTTGTTTTGGCCACTATCTACAGCAAACACTTAAGAGCCATAATCATTTGTGCTCTGGGCCAGGGTCCCTGGTCAAGTCATGAATGTTCTTCAGTACTGCTGCTGAATGATCTGCTCCGGATGTGATTTCTAAGTTGCTCTATAAGTTCAGGATTCTGTTGCTGTATCTGCTGAGCAAACTGCTGTCCCCTGTAGTAAAGAGGCAAAGTGGTATGAATTAGGGAACTTGTAGTCATATCATACCCATGCAAAGAGAACTGCAGAGGATGTGGGTATTCCTCAAAGGGAAATTTTTCTACAAAAACAGATCTTAGACTCTGGATTTTAGTATCTTCCAGTTACAAATAACCTCCATATAGCATTATTACAGTGCAGTGTTCTTCATAAGAAACAAAACAACCATGCTAAAAAGTGACTTCCTGAAATCAGGGTGAAATCCACCCCCTCTAGGGCTTAACCACAAATAAACAAAGGGCTGAATAGTACATGCTTTTGTCGTAGGTGCTCAAATACAATGCAAGGAATTTTTCTTGTCATCAGGTATGATAGGTGCCACACCCATTCTCATCACCTACATGTCACCTGACATAACTGATTTTTACAAAGGCAAAGAATCTTAATACAAATTCCTCCGTGTGTAATCTTCAACTGCAAGTGTTACATATCACTATAATCATGCCATGTAAAGATCACTGTAAAAATGCAATCTTGTAAGTGGGGTTACATGGTTGCGATCACAAAAAGCAAACGGTCCTTGTGTCTTCATATAAAATTTTCAGTGGCAACATGACACACAGATTCAAAAGTCAATTCAAAAAGCAGAGTATCTTAAGCAAGTTGGGTAGAAGTGAAGGTAGTGTGCTCAAGTAATGAGAAGATCAAGGAGTTCCTTTGGTGATGACATGCACTGAAAAAGTTCAAATAAAATAGTTTCCTAAATTGTAGGGACATTAATATATAATATATATAATTAATATATTGTAGGGACACAAATATATGGAATACATGATTTTTAAATATATGAGTCTACCTAAATTAATACATACTTTAAGCATATATTTGACTTTCATCTACATCCTTGAGTAGCTATTCAAATCTGCCGAAAAACTTTTTCATGGGTACAGATCTTCTGAATTCCTGCCCTTCAGTCTGAAAATTCCATGTTATGAATTTCTTTAGATTGAGTAACTAATGAGGCCACGGATACTAACAATCAAAGAAAAAAATTTTAAAAGAAAGCCCTGGTCACTTCAGAGACAAGCTGTAAAACATAAACTTTTTTACTATTTCCATCTTAAATAACACTTACGCTTGGATGAGGCTAGACAGGTCAGTTAGTCCCCCAACTCCAGCAGCAGGTCCCCCAATAGCATTCGTCATCATTCCTGACATTCTAGAATAGGCAAGAAATACATCACTGAGATGGGCATATATTCCTAACAAGTAGGACACTGGCTAAGGAGAAGTCAGTTAAATATACCCGCGCTGTGTAGGAAGGCCAAATGTGAATGGCTCTAAGTTCTAATTGGCTGGCATTCATCTACCATTTACCACTTATCATGTGGAGCCGATGTGCTCAAATTAGGAGCCTGGCAGATGGGAGGGGAAAATATACTTACAGCTGCTGAACTTGAGGATTCTGCATTAAACTTGCTGCCTGGAATTTAAAAATGGCATCTCCCATTAAAGGCAGTCAATATTTTAAGAGTCTTTAACAAAGATTTAAAAAAAAAAAAACAGGAATGAAAGCTAAACCACACATGTTCTAACATTCTTTAGAGTTTTAGTGTACTTTTTTTGAAAGAGAGAGCACTCGTGCATGAAACGGGGGTTGTGGGAGGGGACAAGAATCCCAAGCAGGCTCTGCACCCTATGCAGGGCTCTATCTCATGACCCTGAGCTCATGAATGGGGTCAAAACCAAGAGTTGGACACTTAACCAACTGAGCCACCCAGGCATCCCTAGTTTTAGTGTACTTTTAAACAAAGTGAATGAATGTAAAAAAAGAGGAAGTACTAAGAAAAATGGCATTGAAAATACGTTGCAAATGGGACGCCTGGGTGATTCAGTTGGTTAAGTGTCTGCCTTTGGCTCAGGTCACTTGTAAAACTTTCTATTTTGAAAGCATATCAATTTTTTTTTTTGGCCTCAAATGTTCTTGTAAAATTTAAATCTTTGAGGACAGTAATTTTGATTTACTGACCCTAAATGAGGTGTTGGAAAAAGCCATCACTCGCTTCATTGCCATAAAGAGAACTTTGACTTACTTGCAAGCAATTCAGTAACTTTCCTCAAGTCTTGGTTAGGATTGGTGCCTCTGCACCAACACACAAGTACTATGGTCTTTACACAGAAAAAGCAGGATTTATGAGCTATAAATATAAAGCCTTTTGTTTCACAATCCTTTTAATCTGATTCTGCAAAAGCAGTTCATCCTCTTCTAGATTCTAGGACCTAGAAGAAATACAGAGCAGATTCTAGGGCTTTTCTGGTCACTTTTAAGTAAGCAGTCCTCTGGCTGCTTTTTTTTTTTTTTTTTTAATTTATTTATTTGAGAAAGTGAGAGGATGAGTGGAGGGGCAGAGGGAGAGGGAGAAGCAGACTCCCAGCTGAGCAGGGAGCCCGATGTGGGGCTCAATCCCAGGACCCTGGCATCATGACCTGAGCTGAAGGCCACTGCTCAACCAACTGAGTGACCCAGGCGGCCCCCTCTAGTCGCTTTAAGTTAGAAAATGACCTCCGGTTCAGTACTGCACATCTTGCTCACTGTAATAACCAAATACATAAAACTTCATTTACAGGCAAAGCGTTTCCCCTCCCTGGCCTGGGCCTACTTCACATGGGCCAGTTGCACTGGAAGAGAGAGGCACAACAGCCCGCTCTTTTTCACCACAGTGCTTCTGTGCCTCTCCCCCCAGCTCGCTAGGCAAGAGTCCTGGTCCTCGAGGAAGCCAGAGAGTCAGGGCTACAGGAAAGTTATTTGATGACTGGTCCTATCTCAGTGGTTTTGCATTGGTGCTCTTTGGTTGTGCAGATTGTTTACTCGGGATCTCTCTTGGGGCTCTTTCTAAGGGCCTTCAGAAACTTCTCCCACCCCTGCCCCTCTGGACATTTCTCATCTATCCTCTGAGAAGGATAATTTACTCTCTACATGGACACTGTGACTGTCCCTTTAGTCCCAAGTTCTTTGCAGTCCCCCTCTAGAGACTCTGTCCTGTCACCTTCCAGGAGGCCTTTCCGGGCAGATCGCACTGGACCATCTTATGAGCAAGTGCGCTCACCCTGGTCCACCGAAAACACCCCTCCACTCCAATGGCATCAGTACAGTTACTTGCTAAACCACACAGGCTCCTTTAGCCAGCAGGTCAGACACCAGCCTACTGGGGGCCATCTGGAAAGCTCTCAGGAGTGGGCCAGAAAAGCCCTTTCTCTGGGGGCTTGAGAGGAGGACAGGCCCCCTTCACTCCCTCACACATGGAAAAAGGCTCTGTAACTCCAATAGCTTTCTCCAAAAATCCTCTTACTGCCTATCAACCTCTTTTTTACAAGTCACACAGTATGTTTTTAACTGCCACCTTCTGCAACACTTCACTTTGGTACATAGCATCTTGAGGGCTAAGACAAATCTGAAACTAGAAGAAATCCATTTTCACATCCTACTACAATAGCATAACCTGAGGCCTGGAAATGGGTAGCAATGCTAAAAATGTCACAAAACCTACAAAGAGCCATATAAATGCTGGCATGTACATAGGAAGACCAACTTAAATGTGATGGGCTCAATCCTGAGACTTGAGAAGAGTTACTGAATTATTTGCAAATCAAATAATTATCTCTCTGATAATAAAAGCAAGTAGTGGCTTTCCCAACACCTCAGAGTGAGTGATTCAAAAATTAACCACTGTCTACAAAGATCTCAACTATCAATTGTAAACTGCCAATTGCTACAAACCTAATTGTTTAAAAGACTTCTTTATCTCACTGAGAATGAGCCATCTGTGCATTTCAATTCAATGATTCCATGGATGCATGACACATTTTTTGAAAGAACCAAAGATGAATTCAAGGGGTACTGCTGCCTTCCAAGGGCATGGCATGTGGTGGAACGAATCATTCTCAACCAGAAATAAACACTCAAGGAGCTTTATATGCCCAGGTAACATCCCAATCCACTAAATCAGAGTTTCCACAAACTGGACCAGAGTATGTGCATTTTCAAAAAGATCCATGGGTCATTTTGTTGTTTTTGCAGGATGGAATACACACATCTGAGGATTATACTAAAAGTTCAAATAAACTCTTAGGCTAGAAAGGAAGTAGACCATGAGAGGAGAGCTTAGGGTACCACGACAGTCAAACTACTCAGACTTGAATTATTAGAGATCTTCCTAGGGCCGCTTTCATGGAAAAGAGTTGTTTTTGACCTTTTGTAGATATGCAGACCCCTTTGCCACTTGGATGAAAAATATGGTTCTCTCCATAGAAAAGTGCATATGTGCACATGTATAAAAAATTTTTTATACATTTTCAGGGAATCCGTGGGCTTCCTAAAGTCTCTCCATGGCTTTCTCACAAAGAGGTACATAGGCAGGTTAAAAACCTGAGCCAGAGTGCTGTATCCCCACTCCACCACCACCACCACCACAAAAGCTTTCGTATTTGTTTCTAGAAGTTTGGGAACCATAAAGCTCTATGGAAAACAGAGCCAGCAGAGCAGAAAAGGAAATATACTCACCATACTAATGAAGGCTGGATTATTTATTAAGCTAGCCATGTCAAAGCTCAATCCAGTTCCTGTCTGTAAAACAATTATATCTGAGAATTAGTCCAACCACTATAATTTGATCTTAATAAATTGAGGATGACAGAAAATATTTCCCTCATCTGTCATTAATAACTTACAGGACTGGATACCTCTCTTAACTTCTGTTCTGCTATTTTCAGATTCGACTTATAAGAATCATTTTCAGGGTCAAGATCTAATGCCTTTTGGTAACTTGTAACTGCTTCTTCAAATTTATTTATGGCAGTGAGGGCCAGTCTGAAAAGAATAAAATATAAGAGTATAAGATATATGATTGAAAAACATCAGGACATCACCAACAGTCAAACGTCTGTCTTGGTAATCAATTCGAATCCAGACTACGCTTGCTTGATTCACTGTACTATGTGATTCAGAGGAATATCACTAGAATTCCTTCTAATTCCAAGATTCTGTAAGTCTGGACTCTCTCCATTCTGCTTGCTGACAACCTTAGCTGTCCTACAAGTCATGAATTTAATGCTTAGAAATGAAACTTACCTACCCTTCCAACTTTAAGCCTAGTATGTGAAGTAATTGCCTTATGAATGATAAAGCTCCACAAAGATGTGAGCTGACTAACAACCTGTGGCCATTATAACTCATGATGCTAAAACCATTTTAGGGACTCTGAATTAGATGTGTGCTTCCTAATGTCCCATTTTCTTCCTTCTTCCTAACAAAGACACTGAGCCACAATAAATATCAATTTGCCATTAAAAAAATAAAAAACAAAAACGGGCGATGGGGAATCAGTGGACTACTCGTGAAGAAGACATCTTAGCTGTGAAGTAGATAAAATTAGCATCTTTCAACTCAACACATTTTTATCTGAGGCACAAAGAGTTTGTTATTAAATTTTGTTTTCCTCTTCCTAGTTAGAATTGATTTATCAGAAAATTACTTCAGAACTATACACTAATGGTATATACAGATAGATAGTATTGAGGTTTATTTATAGTATAGAGTTGTTTTTAACAAATTACTCCACTTCTTTTTTGGATGACTTACCTCCCAGGCTTCTGATCAAGACAGAATACAGTGTCTAATCACAGAAAAATTCTCAAAACCTAATTCGTTTTCTTCCAGTCAATGAAAGATACTTTTTCAGAGTCCTCAATGAATCAACAGTCAATAAATACTTATTAAAACCCTACTGCGTACCAGATATTATTTCGTAGTTCACAATGAGAAAGATAAAGTCCTTGAGTTTAAGAAAATTCCATCCTAACTGGAAAGATAAGTAATAAACACACAAATAAAATCATAATATTAAAGAGAGGGGGAGCTCCTCAAAGGCAGCTACAATGAAACGACGTGAGTGATGAGTAGAAAGCAGTCACAGGAAAGTCAAAGGAGGAGCATTCTAAACAGAAGACATGGTAAACACAATGGCCCTGAGAACGATGCGTTTGGTGTACTTCACGAACGGGACAAAAGCTGATGAGGAGGGAGCACAGAAAATAAAGTGTGGAAAGATGATGTCAGGGAATAATCAGATGCCAGATCATGTAAGACCATGGTTTGGAGTCTGGATTTTATTCTCGTCGCAATGGAGTGACAGATCTGATTTATGCTTTAGAACATTCACTCTGGGGGGTGCCTGGGTGGCTGTCGGTTAAGCCTCTGACTCATGACTTTGGCTCAGGTCATGATCTCAGGGTTGTGCGATTGAGCCCTATGTTAGGCTGCGTGCTGGGTGTGGAGCTTAAGATTCTCTCTCCCTCTGCCCCTTCACCCTTCTCCTCTCTCTCTCTCTCCCCATCTCTCTCTTTTTTTTTAAGATTTTATTTATTTGAGAGAGAGAGAAACAGCATGAGAGGGGAGAGGGTCAGAGGGAGAAGCAGGCTCCCCGCTGAGCTGGGAACCTGATGTGGGACTTGATCCCAGGAGTCCGGGATCATGACCTGAGCCAAAGGCAGTTGCTTAACCAACTGAGCCACCCAGGCACCCTCTCCCCATCTCTTAAAAAAAGAAAATAGAAGAAAAGAACATTCTGGCTTTTCTGCAGATGATCAAGATGGGTATGGGTAAAATGGTGGCGGGGGGACCAGTTATGAAGCTACTGCAGTAGCCTACATAAGAGATAGTAATTTGGACTAGGGTTAGAAACGAGATAGCATTCAATGCTTGCAGTAGCCTACGTAAGAGATAGTAATTTGGACTAGGGTTAGAAATGAGATAGCATTCAATGCTTGCAGTAGCCTACCTAAGAGATAGTAATTTGGACTAGGGTTAGAAAAGAGATAGCATTCAATGCTTGAGTTCAAGATACATGGAAACCAGAATCGACAGGACTTGCTGAGAGATTACTTGTGTCAGGCACAATAAGACTGAAGGATGACTCCTAGGCTTTTGACGTTTTGGCACTGGTAGGTGAATGATGGTACCATTTACTGAGCTGGGAAAGATTTAAGAAGGGAACAAAAGTTCTTTTGGGGGCATGTTAAGCTTTAATTGCCTATCAAACATCTAAGTGGATATGAAAAGTGGTTGAATATATGAGTACGGAGTTCAGACATATAACCTAAGAGCTGCATCATCATATACAGTTGAGACTCGTTAACAACAGTAGTTATATTCTATAAAGTCACCACAAACAATAAATTAGCAAATAATGAACAACTGCTCCTAGAGGAAATACAGGGTTGGGCTCCTGTGAGTTTTTGGTCACAACATTTTCATCAACAGATCAAAACCTAACCTTATTTTATGTGTGTTTCTTTTTAAAGAAACCTTATTTAATATATACTAATGATTCATTAGCGCTGAACTAACAGCCAACAGCACTAACTCATGTCTGATAAAAAAATTATCTATATTTTCTTCATAAGGCACATAGTAGCCTTCTTGTGATTAGGAACACTAGACAACACTTCGGCCTACATTTGGGGGCCACTGTAAACAGTGAAATCAACCACCAAAGGCATGAAAATGCAAAAAAAAACAGCGCCAGAAAGACTGTGAAAACAACACTCATTTACAGCATGAGAACTAAAACAAAAAGGCAGAGCATCATCTTACCAGACCTCTGCTGAGAACTGGCATGACAGGTGACTCAAATTTTTCATCCTTCTGTGAAAGACCACAAAAGCACAGTGATTACTGATTTGGAGGTTACGAGAAAACTTCAGCATGTAGGCAAATCCTATATACAGAATCCATGAATAATGAGTACTGACTGTAGATGGAATTTAAAAGCATGGGACAGGATGGAATCAGAAGAAAGAACAGAAAAATGGCAGCAGCAGAGGAGAGAGCCCTGAAGTCCACCGTTATTTAGAGGTGGTACAGAAGGAAGAACCAGCAAGGGAGACTGGGAAAGAGCAACCAGTGAAGCAGAAGGAGAACCAGGAAGTGTGATGTCACAGAAGTGGAGAGAATGAAGTATATCAAAAATCAGTTAATCGTGCCAGGGCGCCTGGGTGACTCAGTTGGAAGAGCATGTGACTCTTGATCTCGGGGTCATGAGTTTGGGCCCCACATTGGGTAGAGAAATTACTTAAATAAACTTTAAAAGAAAAAAAAAAGTTAATCATGCCAGATACTAAAACATGGGGCAGGGTAAGGACAGAGACGTGAACACTGGCCCTGGGAAAATATGGACAACCGGGGACTGAACAGCACTGTCAATAGAGTGACAGAGATGAAAGCCCTAACAGAGCGAGCGGAGAGCAAACGAGATATGAGGGAGATGAGACAGCAAACACAGGCAGCTATGGCAGCAATTCAGAGAAAGAAGAGCTAGGAAGTGGCCTCTCTGGGAAAAGGACAGTTCCAATGGGTGATTTTCTATGACGTTTCCACATGGAGTCATTGTCACTGATAGAGGTAGGAAGTCTGGTGTTGCAGAAGATAAGGAGAGGATTCCGAGCATAAAGTCCTGGGGAAGGTACAAAGGGACGAGATATAAGGCATGAGTGAAGGCAAGTCTTAGAAAAGAACCCTTCCATTTGAACAGGAACAAAAGGCAGTCTGTGAGGATACAAATGCAGGTGGATTGGTTAATTGAGAAGCAGGAAGAGTAGTTACTTTTCTTCTAAATGCATCTATTTTCTCAATTAAGTGCAAGGCAAACACGAGCTGAGAGTCACCATGGAGCATGTGGTGGAAATTTGAAGAGAGAAGAGAAGGTGGGAAGAAAGTGGTAAGGTGAATATAGAAGGAAGTATAGTAGGATTGTCCACCAAAATACTGAGTGCCAATTTGAGATCTGTGGCCTTGAACATGAAACAGTTGTATGATTTTCTCCAACAACCAACCATTCATCATACAACTGGTCACCTCTATCCCAAGTCAAAGAAGTTGGCAGTCATTTCCTCTCTCAATGGTACATTGATCTTCCTTGCAATATTTAAGCAGGAAATTGGAAACCAAACCATTAAGAACAGCAAATCTGATACTCCCTGGTACTTCTTTGAACATTTTGCCAGAACTTACCCCATTCTCCCATATGCCTTGCTGTATTTTGAATCAATTGCTATTGCTTTCTCACAATCCTTTATTGCATCTGTGTAGTGACCTAATTTACTCTGAGCAGCAGCCCTAAGAGAAAGAGAAGAGATTTTTATTATAGGCAGCCCTCAAGGTACTAATTTAGATTGTCATAAAACTGCATTCTCCTTGTCCCAATTTGTGTATCACTGCCAGTAAATATCTAAATCAAACTAAGATAATTCTGTAATCAAACAAAAAGATAATTCAAAAGTAAATCTCAGAGAAAATATGCAGGCTGCCTTTCACCGTTTGCTTTGCTAGAGAAAAGATAAATAAGTGAATCATACCAGTGATCTACCTACTTATTGCTTTTCTAATTTGCCCAAACAGAAAAATGAAAGCACCAGGACATGTGGGATTACTAAGGAAGTGTACAGAGTGACGGCTACCCAGTGTTATGCTGTAAAATGGTCACTTTACTAGTAGGGTTAAGATCATTATCGGGCAAGTCTAAGATCAAAATTTAACCTAAATCTGGCTGCAAATGAAGGATGGCAATGCATTCCATCCACTTAGCACAGAATCTCAGAGCGATTAAATACTATTGAATCCTTTCCAGTTACTTCTTTTGTTTATTTTGTTTATTTTTTTATGTTAATCACCATACATACACCATTAGTGTTTGATGTAGTATTCCATGATTCATTGTTTGTGCATAACACCCAGTGCTCCGTTCATTACGTGCCCTCCTTAATACCCATCATGAGGCTAACCCATCCCCCCACCCTCCTCCCCTCTAGGACCCTCAGTTTGTTTCTCAGAGTCCATAGTCTCTCATGGTTCGTTTCCCCCTCCGATATCCCCCCCTCCAGTTACTTCTAATGGAACTCTCCTGGAATAACTTGATTCCAGGGTGTGATGGTATAATGAAGCTACTTCCTACTCCTCCGCACAATCCTGATAGTAGATAGCCCTCTGTTTCCCTGCTGTCACACTCACTTCAACCCTCAGGGCCATTCTAAACAAGCAAAATGACTGTCCTACATGCAAGCTTCTTCACACTAAAACATTCCACCATTTCTCCTGCCCTCCATCCCACTCCCACTACTGCTCCATTCACTCTTCTCCAGACTAAATATTTCTACTTATTCATTCAACTAATACATCTATTGAGGTCTAGCTAATGCACAGATACTTTTCTAGGCATAGAGCAGTAATCCGAATAATATTCCTGGCCTCAACAATGCTTAGGTTCCTGGGAGGGGTGAGAGGTAGCTGGCAGGCTATAAAGGAAAGGTGGTGTGGTCAGTCCAGTTTTCTGTCAATTTTTCTTCATAGAGCATGACTGAGACTCTCTTTCCAAATTAAGATTATAAAATTTTTTAAAAAAATAAACATACAGTCTCCTTTCTTTCAGTGAAAAAAAAATTAGTGTCAAAGTCCAGAATTCAACAAACCTGATTTGGTAGTTCATATGAAAAAGAGGCATGGGTTTATTTGAACATTCAACACACACTAACCAGCATGAGAAGGATGGCCATTAAAAATGACCATTAAAAGAAGAGATATAGAATGTATCACTTCCAAATAATTAGAAAGAAAAAAAATGAAGTAAAAATAACTCAGTACCGTAGAAGGCAAAAAATAAAGAGCAGGGAAGGGGGAAGGGAGAGGCAGCCAAATAATATCATAGCAGAAAACCAATTCAAACATAAAAGCAACTACAAAGTAACTTAGATAAAAATCAGTTTCTCAAATTGTATACATACCACCTAAAACATAATCACACACAGGTTAAAGGCTAGAAAAAGATAATCAGGCCAACCGGAAACAAAAAAGCTGATGTAGGAACACAAATATAAAACACGAAGCAAAAAGCACTGTTGAGGATAAAGAGAATCATTATTACTGACATTATTACTGACCATCCTGTCTGTTTAATTTTATGGAAAACATTTACATGGCTCAGAAATCAAACTTATATGAAAAGTCTCACTCTCACAGATGATGGGTGGGCATGAGGTAGATGGGATAAAAACAGGAATACGACTTCAAAAAGGATGAAAAAGCAAACCTTCAAAGTGAGTAAAAGAGAAACAAATGATGCTAACTGTAGATCAAAAAGAATTCAAGTAACTTGCAAGTAGTATTCTGAGTATATATCTTTAATGAGACGGATTCTAAGGAGAAAAATTGTGAAATTTACTTAGTAGGCTTGCTAGTGGCATAATATTGCTTTATACTATCAACTGAAGAATACTGAAGGGTAGACCTAATGAGTAAACATATTGGTGGTGTTGGAAAGCAGGATTTTCACTCTGGAAGAAAAGAAATCCACATAAAATGGGGGAAGGTGACAATGGAATACAAATTGAAGGTATCTGTATAAACTGATGATTTTTCAAAAATTTTATTTCCTAGCTCTGTTCACTGAAGAAGCAATAACACTTCAGTAGCAATGATCATGTCTTGCGACCAGAACTTGGTTTCTAAATACTATTCTCCACTAACAGGAATAGGGGCTACTTGTAGAAACAGCTGAGCTCAGGTCTAGGGCAAAGTACGTGCATGACAATTGTGGAATACCTTGCTTTCTCAGGAAGCAAGAAAATGTTCAAAACAAAGTTATATAAAAGGACACATAGCAAGTTTAAAGGGGCTCCCACTAGCCAAATATGGGATAAATTTAAGTGCCAAAAATAATAATTATGGCAATTTCTTATAACACATCAAATAGTGATTTTAAAAATTCATTAGTCCATAATGATACTCAAAAAAGTTGGGGTAGGGGAAAGGAGGAGGAAAGTGGAAAAGGGGGGAGTGGAAAGAAAGCTCTTCTTTACAGAAATATGTGAGAAAATAAATGTAAAAGAAATGATAAAATTAGAAAATCACCATTTTGTAACCATCAGTGTTTTAATGATTCAAGGAAAGATCATGAACGTATGGTAAAACATTAAGTAAAAGATTGCTGGGGAATGGGATATTCACATGATCTGACCCTAAAGACAATTTTAATTATAAAAGGAATAACAGAGATGATGGTCACCACCCTAAGATATCAAACTTAGAATCACCACTAATGGACACTTTGAAATTATGTGCCTCCTATTTTAATGCAATACATGGTACACATAATTATTTATGTGGGCTTAATACCACACTTCAACCTAAAATTAATCATGAGGAAACAATCACACAAATCCAGATTATGGCACATGCTATAAAATCACTGGTCGGAACTCTTCAAAAATTTCTATGTCATAAAAAAATAAATAAAAAACCAGTAATATTTTCTAGATTAAGAGACAAAAGTAACATCTCAAAATGCAACACACAAACATTGATTGGCTCCTGGATCAAAGACATAAGCTACAGAAAGTATTCTAGGGACAAATGAAGAAATGTCAATGCTAATTTTCCTACATGTGAATGGTATAATTATGCAGAGTATATTCTCATTCTTAGGAGATATAACTGAAGGATTTAGGACCAGCAAGAAAATTTTATACACCCACTTCACAACACCCCCACAGAGAGACAGAAAAAGAGGAAGTAAACATGGCAAAATGTTAGCTATTTTTGACGCTAAAGTAAGCATATATAGATGTTCATGTATTACTCTTTCAGTAAGTTGAAATAGGTTTTAAATAGTTTTAAATTTATTTTCCTAAATATTTATTATAAACAAATTTACGATATTATTTATAATACGTATTTATGTGTGTGTGTGTGTATATATATATATATACACACATATATATATATATAAAACATGCTGACGTATAACTGCTTCACTATTAGAAGTCTTTCAAGTAGAGGCAATTCTCCCTCCTAAAATTCACGGTATCAGTTCAACTCAAACTTTTGTTGAAAACTACAATATGCTAAACCCTGAAATCCAAACCAAATACACAGAGATGAAGAGGATACATCTCTGCCCTCCAATCTTTCACTATCTACTAGATAAAAACAGATGTAAATAAATAATAGTGTGATAAGTGCAACAATGGAGTCAAAAGAAGTATCAACAAAGTATCAAAGGAAGAGGCAACATGAGAAAAGTATAGTTAACCCTGTGCAGAGCTAAGAGAACTTTCTGTGATAAATAAGTTCTTCATCTGTGTTATCCAGTACAGTAGCCCCTTGTCCACATGTGACAAAAGAGCCCTTGAAATATGCTAGGGCAACTGAGGAACTGAATTTTTTATTTTATTAACTTACATTTGACCAGCCACATGTGGCTAGGGGCTACCATCCTGGACAGCACCACTCCACAGGGCATGGTGGGGAAGGGCGCAAGAGTATGGACAAGAGCTTGGGAAGAGAAAAAATTAAGAAAATCTTTCCAAAAGTAACACCTAGCAGGGTCTTGAACGATGGCTGGCAGTTGACCAGTTAAATAAGGTATGAAACATTCTAGGCAGAGCACATAAAATCATGGAGAGATGTCTCAACATGGTACTCTTAAGAAGTCAGCAAATATCACAGAGATGAAAAGTACAGTACAAGGGAATATAGCCAATAATAATGTTATTATATGGTGACGGTCACCATACTTATCATAGTGAGCATTCAGTAATGTACAGAATTGTTGATCAATATGTTGCCCACCTAAAGCTAATATAATACTATATGTTAATTATACTTCAATAAAAATTTAAAAATAAAATAAAGAAGACATTAAAAAAAGAAGTCAGCAAATTTCACATTCTATGTGCATAAAGTAGAAAGAAGAACGGAGTAGGAAGAAGAGTGAAAACAATAAAATTTTAAAAAGTAAAATGACAGGACACCTGGGTGGCTCAGTTGGTTTAAGCGTCTGCCTTTTGGCTCAGGTCATGATCCTGGGGTCCTGGGATCGAGCCACACAATGGGATCCCTGCTCCGCAGAGAACCTGCTTCTCCCTCTCTCTCTGCCCCTCCCCCCACTCATGTTCTCTCTCTCACTCAAATAAATAAATAAATAATCTATTTTTAAAAAAGGAAAAAAATGAATGGCTAATAAAAACAGCCAAATATTTTTTAAATGCCTAGATTATAAAAGATCTTATGCTGAGGAGTTTAAATATGATCATACAGGTACTTGGGTCTAGCAAGAAGAAAGC